TGAAAATCATGATATATTTTTGTTCAAAATCTGATCATTTTGTTCTAAAAAAATCCCTATCAACACATGCTAAGAATAATAGTTCCATGTATAATTTTGTTTGTATGATTACATTTAAACTAAATGCTAGCTCCTTGTTAAAGTTCTCTTCTCAGTATTTTCTTTTTCCAAGATAATCTCATATCAGGTCTTTTATGGCTCTGTCCTCGGCATTGTCATCTCCCACTGTGTCTCTTATGTACCTAGAATACTGGCTTATGTGAAATATTTTGCAGTTAGAGGAGAAGTAGTACCTTCTAGATAAAAGAAGTAGTGCAATGCACAGAGACATGGAATTATGATACTAACTACTTGATTAGATGACATTATTTAAAAGTTCAAGTTTAAAATATTTTTCAGAATTCATGTGGATGAAAATACTATTTAGATAAAATAACTATTTTTCAAGTTATTTGAATGGCATTTGCTGTCAACTTATTGTTATTTTAAAGTTTAGAGAATGGCAAGTTATCATTCTCTATAGTTTCAAAGTGGTTTACATGGTAAACCCTTATTTTGGTATTGATTAGTACCGCCCCCCCTTCACTTTTCTTTCTTTTGACGTGAGGGCTTACTGTTTTCTTGTTTTTGTTTTTTATCCTTACCCGAGGACATTTTTCCACTTTTGTTCGGATAGAGTGGGAGTGGGGGAGAGGGAGGGAGGAAGGGAGAGAGAGAGGGGGAAAGAGAGAGAGAGAGAAAAACAGAAACAGAAACATTGATGTGAAAGGGACACATCGAGTGACTGCTTCCCGTAGGACCCAAACCTGGGCTGGGGACAAATTGCAACTGAGGTATGTACCCTTGACCAGAATCAAACCTGTGACTCATTGGTCTGTGGGCTAATGCTCTAACCGCTGAGCAAAACCGGCCAGGGCTTACTGTTTTAATTTATTAAATTATTTGAAAAAGTTTCTTCTCCACTATTCTGGTCTTCCTTTTTTCTTATTCCCATTCTGTTAACTAGGGTAATACTCTCTTGTGAATCCTTTTATAGTGTTCGCCATGATCATATAATTGCATAATGGACACACTATCTCCCTTCCTCCTATACACACAGTCATTAGCATTTTGAGGTTATTTTATAAAATGGACTCATATTATATACCCTTGTGTACATTGTGTAAAATCTATTCAAGCCAACTACTTTTTCACTAACACATTCTTTTATTTAATTTCATAACAGGCCTTGGCTGGTTTGGCTCAGCAGTTGGAGCATAGGCCCGCCGACCAGAGAGTTCTGGTTTGGTTCCCGCTAGGGGCATGTACAAAAAAAAAAATTTCATAACAGTCCATGGCATAGATTATACTACCATAATTTTTTCTTATCTTCTGCTCTTGAATTTACATTTTATTTTTATTTTCTTATTAATAATATACTATACTTTTAGGAGTACACAGGAGAGATTACTGGGTTTAAAGGATTTAAAATTTTTTTATTGATATTGATTTCTTAAATTTATATCAATATTACTTTCTCAGAAGCTCTACCAGTTTACATTTCTAGCAGTTATGTAATGGTACCCTTTTCACTACAACTTAATCAACACTGGATGTTATTCCTCTTATTATTTTTGCTAGTTGAATAGGTATAAAGTGATGTCACATAATTTTAATTTGTGTTTCTTTCACTACTAGGTATTACCATCTTTTTGTGTTAGTCATGTAGACTTGCTCCAGTTCCATTTTTCCACTTAAATTTTTTTATTTTGCCTTTTTCTTTTTGATTTCTTTATTATAAAATATTTTAATACTTTGTATAGAAAAATATAATACATATCAGTATACTCACCACCCAATTTTTTAAATCTATGATTTTGCCATTTTGCTGCGGATTTTTCTCCAGTATGTTATTGTCATAAATTACATTAATAGAGTTTTCTAATTTAGCCATCTTTGCAATCTTAGGATGAATGAACTTCATTAATTTTTTAAAAAGAAACATTTCTGGATTTGGTTTGCTAATATTTATTTAAAAAATTTTAATATCTATTTTTAATATCCTTTTATGATGTCTTTGTCTGGTTTTGGTATTTTGGTCAAACTAAACCCACATTTTGTGTCATTTTTTCTTTCTCTTTTTTTGTACTCTGTAATTGAGATTGAATTGTCTTTTATATTTGGTTGAACTCATATAAACTTCATCTGGGCCTGATGGTGGTTGTCCTTTCTTCTTTCTGATTCTTCCATATTTCTTGTTCCTTCTTCCTCTTCCTTTCTTCTCCTCTGTATTTTTTAAAGTGGGAGATTGTTTTTTTAGTGATTATAGTTCATTTGAAATTTGTTATTAAATCCATTTTTAAGTTATATATTTTTAATTGTTCATTTGTTTACATTTTCAATTTTATTGGCTTAATTTATTCTAGCACTCTCTTTTGTCTTCATAACTTATATTTAAAAAATTCTTAGTGGCCCTGGCCGGTTTGGCTCAGCAGTTAGAGCGTCTGGCCTGCGGTCCATGGAGACCCGGATTCAGTTCCCACTAAGGGCACGTATCTCGGTTGCAGTTTGTCCCCGGCTCTGGTTGGGTTGTGCGGGTGACAGCCACTCGATGTGTCCCTTTCACATCGATGTTTCTCTCTCTCTCTTCCTCTCTCTACCTTCCACTCTATCTGAACAACAAAAAAATCTTAGTGTTTATCTGTGCCTTTTTAAAAAAATCAGAATTGACAAAAGTTTATTTAGTCATTGCAAATAATCAGCTTTTATCTTGTTGATTCTCTTTATTATATTTTTATTCCCTGTTAACTGCTATTGTGTCATGTCCTCTTTTCAGCTGTTTTTGGGATTACTCTGTTTTGCTGACGTCTTGACTTAGATAACTGAGATCAGTCACTTATTTTCCAATGTAATTAGATTAAAGCCACAATTTTCCCTCTTGAGTTTCACAGTAGTTATATATTATAATTTTTAATACGTGGTGTTGATGATCATTTACTATAAATGCGTTTAAATTTATGGTATAATTTCTCCTGTGACTTGTGAGATATTTAGAAGTATTTTTAAATATAAGAATGAATGCAAGGATACATTTGTTACAGAGTTTTTACTGAATAAGCTTTTTATATGTAACTTACTGAAATTATTACACATCTATGAATAGACAGTTGTTTTAATAACATAACTACAAATTTAAATGTTTTGTTGTTACTGTGTCAAGGTCCATGTCATTTTTGCCTACAGTAGAAAAGAATGAAAATATCACTAAAATAAAAATGCTCTTGTTTTGGAGGCTTATATTTTCAAATATATAGAATTAAAAATTTTAAGTATTCATTTCTGAGTTAATTGAGGCATGATTAGAGAACATGCTGTGTATGGTTATTCTGTGGCATTTTTGGAGACTTGTTTTTAATCTCCACATGATTGGGGTGTGTGTGTGTGTGTGTGTGTGTGTGTGTAAATGTTCTATATGTGCTGGGAAATAAAAAGCAGTAATTGTGTGGCTTAGATATTTTATATGGTTTTTAAAAAGTTCAGCGGCTGTCTGGCTGGTGTGGCTCAGTGGACTGAGCATTGTCCTATTGACTGAGAGGTTCCAGTTCAGTTACTGGTCAGGGCACATGCCTGGGTTGTGGGCTCGATCCCCAGTAGGGGACATGCAGGAGGCAGCCAATTGATGTTTCTCTCTCACATCGATGCCTCTATCTCTCTCTCTCTAAAAAAAAATCAATAAAAACATTTTAAAAAATGTTCAGTCCTTGCCGGTTTGACTCAAGTGGTTGGAGCGTCGGTCCACAGACCAGAGAGTCCCAGGTTCAGTTCCCACTAGGAGCACATACCAAAAAAAAAAAAGTTCAGTGGCCTTCAAGTTTTTGTTCATGTACATCCTAAAATATCTTTGAAAAAAAATTAATATGCTTGCATTTTAAGTTCACAATTAAAATTTTGCATTGTAAGTTTAAATAGTGTAGAGAATATAATTATTAGTGTATTACATAAACTTGATATTTAAAAATAAAGCTGCTTCACTGCTTTCTTAACAGGATCCATTGACTTCTTTTTTTGTTGTTGTTAATCCTCATTTGAGGATATTTTTTCATTGATTTTTTAGATAGAGTTGAAGGGAGGGAGGGAGGAAGGGAGGAAGAAAGGAAGGGAGGGAAAAAGAGAAACGTTGATATGAGAGAGTCACATTGATTGGTTACCTCCCACACGAACTGGACTGGGGCCAGGGATAGAACATGCAATCCAGGGACGTGCCCTTGACTGGGAATCAAACCCTCGTCCTTGTGGTCTGCCTGCTGATGCTTTAACCACTGAACCAAACAGGCCAGGGCTCCAGTGACTTCTAAATATGTCCTCATTATCAATTAAAACACACACAGATTTGAATCAGTTTTTCTATAGAGACATCTAAAAAATTGAATAATTTAAAAATTTTGCTTGAAAAAGTCCCAGCAAGTATATTTTAAAATATAGGGAAAAAAGATATTTAGTTAAGCCCTGGCCGATTTGGCTCAGCAGGTAGAGCATCGGCCTGCGGTCCAGAGAGACCCAGGTTTGGTTCTGGCTAAGGGCGCGTACTTCGGTTTCAGTTTGTCCCTGCCCTGGTTGGTCGTGTGGGTTGCAGCCACTCGATATGTCCCTTTCATGTTGATGTTTCTCTCTCTCTCTCTCTCTCTCTCTCTCTCTCTCTCTCTCTCTCTCTCTCTCTCCCCCTCTCCCACCCTAGCTCCCTCCCTCCCTCCCTCCCACCCTAGCTCCCTCCCTCCCTCTCTCTCCCACTCTGTCTGAACAAAAAATGGAAAAATGTCCTCGGGTGAGGATAAAAAAACACACAAAAAGATACTTAGTTAAGAATTCAGTTGTAGGTTGTGTTGAACCAAAAGATTTCAACTTACTACTGCATTTTGTGCTGGTACTGGTTGTTACTTCAGACCCACTACAAATTATAGATGTTATGTAAATGTAGTTTTAATTATCTGTACTCATTTTTTTTTTCTCCGCTTCTTTCCTAGGAATCACACCAGTGTATCATAGTATGTTTGCTTTAATGAGTGAAACAGAAAGGATCTGGTATCCGCCCAACCACGTCTTCCATATAGATGATTCAACCAGGCATAATGTACTCTACAGAATAAGGTACTTTCTTCAGTAAAATGACTCCACTTAATGGTGAAAGAACAAAGTGGGATTAATTATTGAACATATTTTTAATTGCAATTTACTTAATATCAGAGACTAAAACTGATTCGCATTTAATTTTCTTCATTTAAGACTCTCCATTAGAGGAATTGTCCATACATGTTCTTTAACTAGAATGCTCTGACAATAAAGCTCTTCTGATGAGATGCTACTTTACCACTTAAAATTACATTTTTAAAAGGCGAGCATGGCTTTATTAGCAAAATCTTAACTAATTGGAATATTGATAATTTTCCAGGAAATTAGAGGTTTTGTGCAGTAAAATTTAATCTCACACCTCTTCTTTTTAATAACTGTTCTAAAAGTTGAAGAGAAGATTTTGCCAGTGTTCTTTTTTATTTTATTTTATTTATTTGTTTTTTTATTAGTTAATTTTTGTTACAGATGTTTCTCCTTTTTCTCCCACTGATTCCCCCCTCCCCCTCCCTTCCTGCCCTTTCCCCAGTTTGTTGTCCATGTCCATTATTCATGCATACATGCATATAATTTCTGTGGTTTATCTCTCCCTCACCACCCCCTCTCCTGGAGATTGTCAGTCTGTACCCCACTTCCACATCTCTGGGACTACCCCATTTCTCAGACTTTTATGTTCATTATATTGCACAAATAAGTGAGATCATATGATACTTGTTTTTCTCTGTTTGGCTTGTTTCACTTAGGATGATACTTTCCAGGTCCCTCCATGTAGTCTCAAAGGATAAGAGATCTTTCTTTCTTACAGCTGCGTAGTACTCCATTGTGCATATGTACCATTGCTTTTTTATCCATTCGTCTACTGATGGACATTTGGGCTGTTTCCAGATCTTAGCTATTGTAAATAGTGCTGCTACAAACATGGGGGTACATATATTCTTTCTGATTGGTGTTTCAGGTTTCTTAGGGTATATTCCTAGGAGTGGAATCACTGGGTCAAATGGAAGTTCAATTGTTAATTTTTTGAGGTAACACCATATTGTTTTCCATAGTGGCTGCACCAGTCTGCATTCCCACCAGCAGTGCACTAGAGTCCCCTTTTCTCCACACCCTCGCCAACACTTGTTGTTTGATGATTTGTTGATTTTGCCAGTGTTCTTTACAGTCTCAAATTATAATGTTAATTTATTTAATAATTTATGGTAACATGTAATACTGATTTAGAGAAATCTAGAGGTACTTTTCTATTCAGAAGGATGAAACAAAGAAGTTAAGTTTGCCTGGCCAGTGTGGCTCAGTTGGTTGGGTGTCATCCCACACACTAAAAGGTTGATGGTTCGATTCTTGGTCAGGGCTTATGGGTTGCGGGATTGATCACTTGAAGGAGGTATGTAAGGAGGCAGCCAGTTGATGTTTTGCTCTCACGTCAGTGTTTCTCTTTCCTTCTCCTTTCCTCTCTTTCTGGAAATCAATAAAAAATCTTTAAAGAAAAAAAGAGTTTAGTTTGATCTGTGGCTCTTACTTATGAAATAGATCCATTCAATGCAGAGAGTCCAGTGTTGCAGTAAAAAAGAACATGGACCCATTTATAATTTTAAAAAGAAAGGTAAAGGAATCCTTAATTAACTAAGACTCAAAAATGTCATTTCCATAATAAAGGGTGTCTATAAAAAACATGTAGCAAATAATATTCTTAAATGATAAAATACTAGAAACTGTCTCTTTAAAATTGAGAACAAAGCCCTGGCTGATTTGCTTAGCGGTTAGAGTGTTGGCCCACGGACCGGAGAGACCTGGGTTCGGTTCCCGCTAAGGGCACATAGCTTTATTGCAGTTTGTCCTGGCCCCATTTGGGGTTGTGTGGGTGGCAATCGGTCAGTGTGTCTCTCTCACATTGATGTTTTTCTCTTTCTCTTCCTCCCTCTCTCCCTCCTGCTCTATCTGAAGATAAATGCAAAAATGTCCTTGGGTGAGGATAAAAAAAATAAATGAAAAATAATAATAGCCCTGGCCAGTTTGGCTCAGCGGTTAGAGTGTTGGCCTGCGGTCCAGAGAGACCTGGGTTCAGTTCCCACTAAGGGCGCGTACCTCGGTTGCAGTTTGTCCCCGGCCCTGCTTGGGTTGTGTGAGTGGCAACCACTCGATGTGTCCCTTTCATGTCGATGTTTTTTTCTCTTTCTCTCTCTTCCTCTCTCTCCCTCCCATTCTATCTGGACAAAAAATGGAAAAATATCCTCAGGTGAGGATAAAAAAAAATAAATAAATAAATAAAATAAGGAACAAAGACAACAACAGCAGTTACTGCTTTTGTTTAGGATTTTAGTGGAGTTCCTGACAAGTGCAGTAAGAAAGGAAATTTTAAAAAGTTTAATAATTGAGAACAAAGAAGCAAAAAGTCATTAGTTAGAGATGATATTTTAAGAATCCTATTATTGCTTCTACATTCTGTGCATGGAAGAAGGCAGTATATTGATTTTACATTTATGTTTCTTGTATTTTCTACCTATATTTTTTTTATGGTCTTATCCAGATTTCCTTTTTTCTTAACTTGTGTTTAACACTATCAGCTGTGTTTTCTGATTATGGGATAATACCTTTCAGTATGTTAGAAGTGGTTATAGATGCACAGTACATTTATATTTGAATTATTTGGAGGCTAATGGAATGTTTTAACTGTCTTGTAGATTTTACTTTCCTTACTGGTATTGTAACAGCAGCAACAGAACCTATCGGCATGGAATATCTCGAGGTGCTGAAGCTCCTCTTCTTGACGATTTTGTCATGTCTTACCTTTTTGCTCAGGTATGATTATATTATCTATTTCTACATGTGTTCAATGATAAATACCTTGCAGTGTAGTTACCTCTTTTTAAAAAAAAATTTTTTTTCTTTATTGATTTTACAGAGAGAGGAAATGAGAGGGAGAGAGAGATAGAAACATTGATGAGAGAGAACATCAATTGGCTGCCTTACATGCCCATTTTCAAAAGTGTGGTGAAATAAGGGTTGGTTAGAATAGAGCATAAAGAAATTCAGCTCCTTCCCTGAATTAATTTTTTATTACCAACATTTGGGCCTTTGTTTTGGTTAAGGCTGATTATTTCATTGTTTGTGCCTTTTAAGTAATATAGTTTATTTTCTTATACAAAAATATTTTCTAATTAGTTAATAGAAAGCTAACAAACAAACCTACTTATAAATGCATACTTATTTTTTAATAAAATTATTTTTAAAAATTTATGTAAACTTGAAGTTCATGAGATAAGTTATCACATCAAAAGAAGGAAGCTACATAAAAAGAAATATAGAAGAAGGCCCTATTTTTCTTTTATCCAGTTTTAAACCTTGGTTAAATATTTGTATTTCAGCTAATATTATAGCTCTTACCTTTCTTATAAAGGAAATTGCTATTACTTTTAGAATATTGGTGATTTTTGTGTTCTACCCTTTTCTCGCATAACATATTCAATCTGATTTTATCTTTATCTCTAAAGTAGTCTGGTCAAAATCTTAGAACTTCTGTTTTCCCCTTTTCTTCATTCTTTTTTTTATCCTCACCCGAGGACATTTTTTGATATTTTGTTCAGATAGAGTGGGAGGGAGGGAGAGAGAGACAAACATCGATGTGAAACGGACTCCTCGAGTGGTCGCCACCCACATGACCCAACCAGGGCCAGGGACAAACTGCAGCCAGGGTACGTGCCCTTAGCGGGAACTGAACCCGGCTCTCTTCGGTCCTCAGGCCGACGCTCTAACCGCTGAGCCAAACGGGCCAGGGCTCTTCATTCTTTATATATAATTATATATATGTTATTACAAAGTTATCAATTTTTTAGACTCTTTTAATGTCTTCTGTTCCCCACATCAGGTTCTTATTTCCTCATATCTGAACCATTATAGCAGCCTCTTAAAGAGTCTCCCGGGCCCTGGCCAGTTTGGCTCAGTGGTTGGAGCGTCGGCCTGCGGTACAGAGAGACCCGGGTTCGGTTCCTGCTAAGGGCATGTACCTTGGTTGCAGTTTGTCCCCGGCCCTGGTTGGTTGTGCGGGTGGCAGCCCCTCTATGCGTCCCTTCACATCGATGTTTCGCTCTCTCTCTCTTCCTCTCTCTCCCTCCCGCTCTATCTGAACAAAAAATGGAAAAATGTCCTCGGGTGAGGATTAAAAAAAAAAAAAAAAAGAGTCTCCCAGAGTACACTTTATTTTCTTAAAGCACTGCTATCATTGGTCCTTCTGCCAATGAATAAAAGTCTTGAAGCTTTAAGAAGAGATGCTTTAGGAAACTGGTTCTCTATTGCTTTCAGGATCAAGTCACACAAGGGTTCCTGCTGTCAGACCCCAACTTACTTTTCCAAGTTTTAGTTCATACTATTTTCTTACATAAATTGTCTGTTACAATCAAACTAGCTTGAATCTTTGAACATGCTTTGTTCTTGTATGATTTCTTGACCATGACTTTTTGTCCATTAAAATTTACTTTATCTTCAAAGAATACATGAATTACCGAATTTTCCATGAAACCAACTTTGATTATGCCAACTGGATATAATCCTGAACTATCTGTTGTGTGACCCTTACTATACAGTATCTGGCATCCTAATTTTCTATTTACATGTTTAGCTTCTCTGCTAGATTTCAGTCTCCTTGAGGGTTGAGACCATATCTTATACTGTATCCAACTGTTTTTAATATAACACCTTTTTTTTTAATTGATTGATTTGAGAGAGAGGAAGGGCGTGTGGGTGGGTGAATGGGGAGAGAAGCATCGATTTGTTGTTCTACTTATGCATTCATTGATTGATTCTTGTATGTGCCTTAACTGGAGATCAAACCTTCAACCTTGGCTTTTTGAAGATATTTAGAACTCAGTACATATTTAATTAATATCTATTTAAATTTAGGTAGTTTTGATGTAGAAGATTTAATTTGAAGATATAAGCAGTGAAATAGATTGATATATGCACTCTGTAGTTGCTAACAAATTTCAATCAGTTTCCATTCGCAAAGGAACTTTAACTAAAATTTCATGGCAAAATGGTTGAAAAACGGAGTTGGTGTTCTTTTTAAATATATGTGTTCTGGAAATTACATTATAGGTTAAAATGCAATAATAGATTAAAATGTGATTGAAACTTATGAGATATTTTCTTCTAAATATATTTTTCCTTTAGTGGCGCCATGATTTTTTGCATGGATGGATAAAAGTACCTGTGACTCATGAAACACAGGAAGAATGTCTTGGGATGGCAGTGTTAGATATGATGAGAATAGCCAAAGAAAATGATCAAACCCCACTGGACATCTATAGCTCTGTCAGGTAAATTCCTTATGTAAATCCATATATATAAATATGGACTTTTTATATGATTTACTTGTATTTAATGTGTTTGCCCATATTTTTCATTTTATAATGGTTAAAAGTTGTACGGGTAACTTTTCCTTCTTGTGAACAACATACTTTCTTCCTTTTTTATTGAAATATTGACATAAACACTGTATATAAGGCATACAACATAATGATTTGACTTATATATATCATGAAATGATTACCACTATGAATTCGGTTAACATCAATCATTTCATATAGATAGAAAGAAAAAAGAGAAAGAAAAAATATTTTTTCCTTGAGATGAGAACTCTTAGGATCCACTGCCTTAACAACTTTCATGTGTACCATACCGCAGCATAAACTCTAGTTATTATAGTGTATGTACATTGCACCTGAGTAATACTTATTTATCTTATAACAAAAAGAAATTACTGAGTTGGTGTACTACAGAAAATATCATAGGTGTTCACTACCTATGTATTATTTGATTTATTTATTCTGAAAAGGCTGGAAGGTCAGAGAGCTGAAAAGAGTACCTGGAGGCATAATTTCTGCCAGCAGATTCTCACATTGTCTGTATAAATAATTCTGAATCAGAATGTTTCTGATCATGTCCATATCTTATTTATTTATTTTAAAATATGTCTTTATTGCCCTGGCCAGTTTGGCTCAGCGGTTAGAGCGTCGGCCTGCGGTACAGAGAGACCTGGGTTCGGTTCCCGCTAAGGGCATGTACCTCGGTTGCAGTTTGTCCCCGGCCCTGGTCGGTTGTGCGGGTGGCAGCCACTCGATGTGTCCCTTTCACGTCGATGTTTCTCTCTCTCTCTCTCTGTTTCTCTCTCTCCCTCCCACTCTACCTGAACAAAAAATGGAAAAATGTCCTCTGGTGAGGATAAAAAATAAAAAAAAATAAAAAAATAAAAATAAAATAAAATAAAATAAAATATGTCTTTATTGATTTTTTTTTTTTTTTAGAGAGAGAGAGAAGAAGGGAGAGAGAGATAGAAATATTGATGTGTGAGAGAGAAACATTGATTGGCTGCCTCCTGCACACCCCCCACTGGGGATCGAGCCCACATGTGTGTCCTGACTGGGAATCGAACTGGGACCACTCCGATGATGCTTAATCCACTGAGCCCCACCAGCCAGGCTGTGATAGTGTCCATATTTTACTTGAAGTAGTATCACCTGAGGTTCCTGCTAAGATGGAAGGTTCTTGGGCTCTAACCCGAGAATTTGGTTTCAGTAAATCTGAGGTAAAGTCTGCAAATAGGAATTTTTATAAATGTTTCAGCATATTTTTAAAAAAATTGGCTTTAGTGAGGTATAATTGATATATAAAAATGTAAGGTATTTGAATTGTACATCATGATGATTTGATGTACGTATACATTGTGAAAGGATCCCCTATGAAGTTTATTAATATAATACATCCATCACCTCACATTTATCTTTTCTTTTTGTTTTGTTTTTTGAAGGTGAGAGCTGGGGAGACTATTTAAGTTCTGTTTTCTTTAGCAAATTTTAGTTATACATATATAGTGTTAATTATAGTCACTGTGTTGTACATTAGATCGTCAGACCTTATTCATCTTATAGCTGATTCAGCAGAATCTTATACACTCCACATTCTCCAAGTTATTCTTATGCACATTGAATTTTGACAATCATGCTAAATATAATTTTTGAAACAGTACTCCTGCAGTCCAGCTTTAATAGCTGGAAAGTCTTTTTAAAGGTGTATATGAATATGGGTATATATAGGAATGCTTTATTGTTGTTTTTTTATGTTTGAATAGTAAATATATGTCTTACTTATTACATACTAGGCAGATTAAAAGTTTGAATATGCCATGAATCTGGTTTAAACTCCTCTTATTCCTTGAAATGCTTCTCTCAATAATTGGCTTCAGTCACTTCTTCCTTGAGTGCCTTCAGAACAGTTCATATGCAGTTTGCAGGGTATCAATTTTATGTTTCCCTCTTTGGTTTTAAATAATCTTGTCTTGCTTTTAGATGTCCATTAGGACTTAACCTAAGGGTGTAGGCCATAGGGTATGATTTCAGGAACTCACTGAGGAATCTAGAAGATTCCAAATCCCAAAGGAAAACCAAAAACATTTCTGTTTTCACTAAAGCCTCAATCTTTATTAAAGATTAAAGATTGGACACCCTTTTGGATATTAATTTATTTATTCATTTGTTCATTTATTCACTCATTTAACAGCATTTACTGAATATCTGCTAGATGCCAGACCATAGGAAAACACCAAATATATAAGGGAAGGTGTATCTTGCATACAATTAATGGAAACTGAAGGAATTGAAGGGAACACAGGTGAAGCACAGAGAAGCTTTGAGCCACTGAAAATAAATTTTATAAATATGAAGCTGTTTCTAGGTTTATGCTATGTTGGAACACTTCTGCTTTGGAAACCATGATATTGTTCAAAGTCTTGGCACAATCTGTGGTTTCTTTGAGGTCAGGAATCATGCCCTCTTTATTCTCCCTATATTATTTAGTCTAGCCTCCCAAACTCAGTGAATGTTTAGTAATTGTGTTTCTCTGTTTTTTCTTAATCAGGATATAAAAGCATCTGTAAATTTCTGCATTATTTATTTTTGTTTTACTTTTAAAATTGTACAGATATCAAACATACATTATAAAATTCCATGATTTTTAAAACAGCTTTATTGAGATATAATTCACATACCATAAAGTTCACACATTTAAAATGTATAATTTAGTATTTTTATTATTGAGTTGTAAGGGCTTTATATATTCTGGATACAAATTTCTAGATATAAATTATCATATATATGTTTTGCAAATATTTTTACCATTCTTTGGATTGTTTTTTTGACTTTCTTGAAAGTATCATTTGCAGCACAAGAGTTTAAATTTTGTAGTAGTCTAATTTTTCTGTTTTTTCTTTTGTCTCTTGTACCATGATATTTTAATGTTAGATAAATAATTAATGCCTGAAGCAAAAAACATGCCTGCCTTGCTTGCCTTCTTAATATAATTTAACTCACTGCTGGTTTCTGAATTCTCATTTAGTGCTCATTTCTGAGAAATAATCAAAGACTCTGCTCAATGTAAAATATTCAGGATTGATGGGAGAACAAATGAATGACTAGTTTGGGACAGAATTAAATAAGCTGCTTTGTTCCCAGAAATATCTAGTAGAGTATGGATCTCTGATTAGTATAACTAAATACATATCCTTTCCCAGACTTAAAATAAAAATACATGTAAGGTGCATCTCTTTGTATCTGTACTTGTGTATTAGGTGTGTCTGTGAGCACATGCCTCTTTCCTTATGCACCTGCATATATGTGTTTGTGCACGTGTATGTATTAGATACTTAATTTTCTGTGTGCCAATTCCTAACTGGATAGTTTTGCTTAGGTGTGGAGTACAGAAAGTGAAGGACACAATTCTTCATATGCTCTTTAAAATCTTACATTTGCTAAAGGGTGTGATGAAGAGAACTGGAGAATGGAAGAAATTTAAAGGAGACTCTTGAATTTGCAAACATTGGGCCAGGGCCAAGGGCACTTACATAGTGACTAAGCTACATACCTCATGTCACTAAGACTCCCTTTCTAAACAACTAAGCTAATACTAGAATAGCCAATGACCTACTTCAATTGTAACAATAAGATGAAGATTACATTTACAGTACAAAATACAGTACAATTTCTAAAGCAAAGCTCAATTTCAGAGCCTTTTAGCACCTTAATTGTAGGATTCTTTAAAAACTCAGTATAAGAGAAGCATCAGAAACAAATGTTTTTATGCTTCAAGAGTTAATAACTTGTGTCTCTTGAAATATTTTAGTGTTTCTAACAAGTCTGGTTCTGATAGCATGACACTGACGTGTATTCATCATATTCAAGAACCACACACTCCTGTGGTATTCCCAAAAAGTATATGTTTGGTCCTTTATTCTAGGAATCAAAGTGGAAAGCCTTGTTGTATGATGTTGTCTTAAATTCTTCTTTTTAATCTTCAGATTAGTTTTCCAGAGCCTTATTATGTAAATTGCCCAAATTTAGTGAGGCTCTTGGTAACTAATTTTTTGACAGAAATAGATAAAGTAGGCATTTGAACTTGCATTCTGATTGTATTTTTAATCTTTCTTTTTCAGTGTTTTCTACACTTACTGAGGATCTCCTAAATACTATCTAGACTTTTATTAAATTTTTTTATATATTTATTTACAAATGTATAATTACTATGAAAAGGAACAGAGTATGGCTTTTAGTGTCTGAAAAATAAGTAGAATTTAATGAGTAAAGAGAGATAAGGGATGGAAAAGGCCTTGTAGTAGAAGGGAGCATAGGAAGACTGAAGAGAGTAAATCAGAGCTCAAAGAGTTAGTAGGAGATGAGGCAGGAGCTTGATCATGTAAAACCTTAGTCATGTTGTCAAGGTTAAGAACACTAAGAACCTAGCCAATGTGGTTCAGTGGTTTAGCATTGTCCCAGGAACCAAGAGGTCACTGGTTTGATTCTTAGTCAGGGCACATGCCCGGGTTGTGAGCTCGATCCCCCGTAGAGGATGTGCAGAAGGCAGTCGATCAGTGATTCTCTATCATGAATATTTCTCTCTGTCTCTCCCTCTCCCTCTCCCTCCCCCCCCTCTCTTTAAAAAACAAACAAACAAACAAACAAAACACCAAGAAATCAAGTAAGGGTGAAATGATTAGATTTGTGTTTTTAAAAGATCCCCATGACTCAGTGTAGAAAACAAATCAGAGGGGTATAAGAGTAAATGGAAATGAGGGTCAATCAGAGAGTAAGGCATTATAGTAGTTGTTTCAGGAGATGCAGTTGAATGGGTTAGTAATGAGAAAAATGGACAAATGAGAGAAATATATAAAAGGTAAAATCAAGGGAATGTGGTGATGGATTGAATGAATAATGGGGTTTGAGGGAAAAGGTAGTGTAAAGGGTGATTCCTGGGTTTCTGGGACTTGCAGAAATAGGTAATTGTGGTGCTGTTTCCTCAGAAAGGGAATGTTGTAAGAGGATCTTGGGGGGATGTTAGGGAGACTCATGAGTTTGGTTTGACACATTGAGAAGCGTTTGGGCCATCCAAATTAAAATGGGTAGATTGACTAGACTGTGGAAGATAAGGGTCTGGAGTTTAGAGGTCAGGGCTAGAGATGGAAATAGCAAGTGATTTGCATATAGAGTATCTAGAAGAAAGAGAATGTGTATACATAAGAAGAGGGCTCATAATTAAGTCTCAAGGAACTTCAACATTAAATCACCAGGTAAAGAGGAATGAACCTGTAAAGGAGGTTGAAAAGGAGTAACCAAAGAGATGGGAATAAAATCAGGAAAGCTAAGGGGAGAGACTTTCAAAGAGAGAATGATCAACAATGTTGGATGCTGCTGAAAATTTACAAGAAAAATAAACAAAAGAATCTGGGTTTTTAGTAACATGGAAATTTTCATTTTATTTTAGTAAGAGCAATTTATGTGGGACTGTGGAGCAGAAACCGAATTAGAGTGAGTTGAGTAAATGGAAAGCAAGAAAATAGAAATGGCTGTTTTAAACTTTTCAAAAAGAGGCTAGGTAGGCTGTAGCTGGAGAGGATGTGCAATAAAGAGATTTTACATTTAAGATGGGAAGAGCATTAGTATTAAAAAAATTTTTTTTCCCCTTTATTGATTTTTAGAGAGAGAGGAACAGAGAGGGAGAGAGAGATAGTAACATTGATGAGAGAGAATATTGATTGGTTGCCTCCAGCATGCCCCCTGGCTGGGGATTTGGCCCACGACCTGGGCATGTTCCCTGACCCAGAATTGACCTGAAGACCTCTTGGCGCATCGGTTGATGCTCAAACACTGACCCACACTGGCCAGACAGAGCATTAGTATTTTTAAGATACGTGGATAGAAGAGAAAGTATAAGTGGAGTAAAAGTTCCCTGAAGAAGGATGTATATTAGAGGAAGGTATGGTATAGGAAATATATGTTAAAGAAATGGTTTTAACTACCTGGTTTATAATAACTACCTTATTAGAGAAGCATTTAAAAAAATTTTTAATTATCTTTATTTATTTAAACTTATCTTTATTGTTGAATGTATTATAGGTGTCCCCCCTTTTTTTCCCCATTGACTCCCCCACTCCTCGTTTCCCCCCACCCCACTGCCCTCCCCACAGTATTGTCTGTGTCCATTTTTATGCATATATGCATATAAGTTCTTTGGTTTATCTCCCCCGCCCTCTTCCCTTTGAAGTTCATCTGTTTAACAACCAATTTGTACTTCTTAATTCCTTCACCTTTTTCACCCATCCCCTCAACCCCCTCCCATCTGGCAACCTAGAAAAAGTTCTCTATTTCCTGCTTGCTCATTTTGTTTGTAGATTTAATTGTTGATAGATATGTATTAATTGCCATTTTATTGTTCATATTTTTGTTCTTCAAGAAGACTGTCAACATTTCATATAATACTGGTTTGGTGGTGATGAACTCCTTCAGCTTTTACTTATCTGGGAAATTCATTATATGTCTATTGAGTCTAAATGATAGTTTTGCAGGATAGAATAATCTTGGTTGTAGGTCCTTGCTTTTCATCACCTTTAATATGTCTTGCCACTTCTTTCTGGCCTGCAACGTTTCCTTTGAGAAATAAGCTGACAGTCTTATGGGAGCTCCTTTGTAGGTAGCAAACTGCTTTCCTCTTGCTGCTTTTAAGATTCTCTCTTTGTATTTAACCTTCAGCATTTTGATGATGATGTGTCTTGGTGTGGACCTCTTTGGGTGCATCTTGTTTGGGACTCTGTGCTTCCTGGAGTTGTATGTCTGTTTCCTTCACCAAGTTAGGGAAGTTTTCTGTCATTTTTTCAAATAGGTTTTCAGTTTCTTGCCCTCTCTCTTCTCCTTTTGGTACTCCCATGATGCGAATGTTGGTTTGCTTGAAGTTGTCCCACAGGCTCCTTATCCTATCCTTTTTTTTTTGTTTTGCATTCTTTTTTCTTTTTGCTGTTCTGATTGGGTGTATTTTGCTTCCTTATATTCCAAATCCATGGTTTGCTTCTTGGCTTCACCGACTCTACTATTGATTCCCTGTAAATTATTCTTTATTTCAGTTAGTACATCCTTCTTTTCTAACTGGTCCTTTTTTATGCTCCTGAGGTCTTCACTAAGTTCCTTGAAATTCTCACTAAGTTTCTTTTTATTTTTTTAAATCTTTATTGTTGAATGTAAAATGCATTACAGATGTTCCACATTTTCCCCCCATTGACCCTCTCCTCTCCACTCCTGCCCCCCTCCCGCCTTTTCCCACACTATTGTCTGTATCCATTGGTTATGCATATAAGTTCTTTGGTTTATTTCTTCCCACCGCCCCAACTCCTTTCCCTTTGAGGTTTGTCAGTCTAGCAAAGAATTTGTACTTCTTAATCCCTTCATCTTTGTCACCCATTCCCCCAAACCCCCTCCCATCTCGCAACCAACAAAATGTTCTCTGTATCTATGAGAATGTTTCTGTTCTACTGTTCATTTTGTTTGTAGATTCCATTGTCGATAGATATGTATTCATTGCCATTTTGTTTGTTCATATATTTTATCTTTTTCTTCAGAAAGGCCCTTCATCATTTCAAATAATAATGGTTTGGTGGTGATGAACTCCTTTAACTTTTTCTTGTCTGGGAAAGTCTTTATATGGCCATTGATTCTAAATGACAGCTTTGCAGGATAGAGTAATCTTGGTTGTAGGTTCTTGCTTTTCATCACTCTGAATATTTCTTGTCACTCCCTTCTGGCCTGCAAAGTTTCTTTTGAGAAATCAGCTGACAGCCTTATGGGAATTCCCTTATAGGTAACTAGCTGCCTTTGTCTTGCTGCTTTTCAGATTCTCTCTTTGTCTTGAACCTTTTGCATTTTGATGATGTGTCTTGGTGTGGGCCTCTTGGGGTTCATCTTGTTTGGGACTCTCTGTGCTTCCTGGACTTGTATGTCTGTTTCCTTCACCAAGTTAGGAAAGTTTTCTGCCATTATTGTTTCAAACAGGTTTTCGATTTCTTGTTGTCTCTCTTCTCCTTCTGGCACCCCCAAGATGCGAATGTTGGCACGCTTGAAGTTGTCCTAGAGGCTCCTTACACTATCCTCATTTTTTTTTTTGGATTCTTTTTTCTTTTTGCTGTTCTGATTGGGCATTTTTTGCTTCCTTGTATTCCAAATCGATGGTTTGCTTCTTGGATTTACATACTCTACTATAGAATCTGTGTAAATTATTTTTTATTTCAGTTAATTCCTCCTTCAATTCTGATTGTGTGTCCATAATTTCTGACTGATCCTTTTTTATGCTCTTGAGGCCCTAAGTTCATGGAGCATCCTTATAAGCAGTATTTTGAACTCAGCGTCTGTTAGGTTGCTTATCTCCATTTCACTTAGTTCTTTCCTTGGGGTTTAGTTCTGTTCTTTCATTTGGGACATGTTTCTTTGTCTCCTCATTTTGGCTGCCTCCCAGTGTTTGTTTCCATGTATTACTTAACGAGAGGTATGGGGCTAGCTGAGACCAGATGCTGCTCGTTTGAAAGAATTTAGGAAAAACCTGAAGCAGGATCCAAGACAGGCCAATCCTATGGTTAAGCAAGTGGCAACAGCTTGGGTGGGCCTGAAAGTTGGGTGGGGCGGGGCCTCAGGGAGTCACCAGGGTGGGGCTACCAATGTGAGCCTGGTTGCTGGAGTCCCAGATGTGGCCGCTGTCTGCCGCCCCCCTGGGAAGGGCTCACCAAAGGAACAAAGGTCTCTAACAGCACGTTTGTCCTGGAGAAAGCCCCCTCTCCAGCCCTTGCTCCAGTGCCAAACAGCTCAGTTGTTCCCTGTATGTCTCTGGTGCTCCTAGAGCTTAGAGGGAGAGAGTCCTATAAGTTCATGCGTGGGCCCTTTAAGGAGCTGCCTGGGGCTCCAGCCGCTTCAGCTTCCCTGAGCCTCAGTTCCTGCTAGTTTTTCCAGCCAGAAGTTATGGGGACTTCTCTTCCTGGTACTGGAACCCTGAGCGGGGCACCTGGTGTGGGACAGGGATCCTTCAGTCCTCAGGGAGGACCTTCCCAGCCGAGGTGTCCTCCTGATTTTTATCCACCACACGTGGGTGTGGGACCAGCTCCTCTCTCCACCAGCCCTCATGCCTCCGCCCCTCCTTCCCTCCGCCCAGTTTGGATGTGGCTGCTGCTTTAATTCCGTAGTTGTAGGACTTCCATTTAGCTTGATTTCAGGTGGTTTAGAATGATGGTTGTTCTGTAGTTTAGTTGTAACTTTGATGTTGTTGTGGGAGGACACGATACCGCGTTTACCTACGCCGCCATCTTGACCGGAAGTCCCCTCACTAAGTTTCTTGAGCATCCTTGTAACCAGTGTTTTTAACTTTGCATCTGTTAGATTGCTTATTTCTGTTTCGTTTAGTTCTTTTTCTGGAGTTTTGTTCTGTTCTTTCATTTGGGACATGTTGCTTTGTCTCCTCATTTTGGCTGTCTCCCTGTGTTTGTTTCTATGTATTAGGTAGAGTTTCTATGTCTCCTAGGCATCCTAGGGTGGCCTATTGTAGCAGGTGTCCTATAGAGTCCAGTGGCACAGCCTCCCTGGTTACCCTAGCTGGGCCCTCACTGTGTACCCCTTGTGTAGACTGTCTACCCTTCTATTGTAATTGAGTCTTTGTGGCTGTTGGCATGTCAATGGGAGGGATTTTAGTTGTAATTTTGTTTTAGATATATATTCCAATTTGTTTTGTTTCTCTGTATGTACTCTTTATCCCTAGCTACAAGACATTCCTACCAAAATGTATTCGAGCAAAGATCCAAGACTATCATATTTTGACAAGAAAGCGAATAAGATACAGATTTCGCAGATTTATTGAACAGTTCAGCCATTGCAAAGCCACTGCCAGGAACTTGAAACTTAAGTATCTTATAAATCTGGAAACTCTTCAGTCTGCCTTTTACACAGAGCAATTTGAAGTAAAAGAATCTGGAAGAGGTCCTTCAGGTGAGGAGATTTTTGCAACCGTTATAATAACTGGAAACGGTGGAATTCAGTGGTCAAGAGGGAAACATAAAGAAAGTGAGACACTGACAGAACAGGTAATTCTTAATGATACGTTCTCATTCTTTGTTAATTTAAGTAGAATGGCAATAGAAGCAAAATAATTCAAGTCATTTGAAGCATGGCCTTGTACTTTTCTTCTTCCATTGGTAGAAGTAAAAATTTTTAATGGTATAAAGCCATCAAGTTCTATAGTTCTTTTCTGGTTGTTCTTATATGTATTTTATGTAATTATGACAAAATAATTAGTAATGGTATTTTTATAGTTTTAGAAAAGGCATGAGAAAAAGTACTTTTGCCTCCTTTTTTTCTTTTACTTATATTTAATTTTTATATTTTATTGTTGATATAGAAGGCACTATAATAAACTTTAATATCTTAGAAAATTTAATTTTAATTGATATTATGATGATGTATACCTGTTAAATAATGTAGTTTGTCTTAGGATTGCATTATAAGTTTTAAGTTTGTTCTTATCTGTTATTCTTAGATTATTAGAGATTTAAAAATTTATTGATCTTTATTCTGTGATAAGCTTTCAATTTTCTGGCAGTGGTTTCTATTAATATTGATTGGATTGAAGGGTACTAGAGCACACCTAAGATTCTTGGAACCCTTTAATGCTCTCATTTTTAAGTCAGAGCAAGATACAATGTAGTCTAGGGTTAGAATATTGGGGGAGCAATCCCATTTAATGCTTATCTATTGCTATAAATACTTTCTTTTCTTAAATAATTTGTTATGAATGTTGTCTCTTTTATAAGTCTTGTTTTAAAATGACTCCATAGATTCTACCTGTTTTTAATTTCAAATGCTCTTAATTATAGGATTTACAGTTATATTGTGATTTTCCTGATATTATTGATGTCAGTATTAAGCAGGCAAACCAGGAAAGCTCAAATGAAAGCAGAATTGTAACTATCCATAAGCAAGATGGTAAAAGTCTGGTAAGTTTGCTTTATAAGTAAAAAGTCATTATGTTATACAGTTTTTAGAAGTATTTCTTCTTAATATCTGAGTTACTATCTTATATAAATTTTTATTATAGTTTTAAATATAGCTCTAAACATAAATATCAGTTTAGTGAGCTTTTTTTCTTACATACAGCTTTTTGTGTCACTACCAAGACTATCTTCCCACAGAGTTTCTTATACATTAATGTATTCACTCATTTTTATGTTGAGCATAGCACTAGTTACTTTTTCTTCCCATTCTGGGTTGCACTAGTTCCCTGTTATAGTTCTTATTCCTGACTATCATTTCTTCTTCTTCTTTTTTTTTATCAATAGAGATGTGAATAATACCAGTCATACTGCCTAATTAAAGGAGAGAAAGAAATCAAACAATACTCCTAGGAATTTATATAACAAAATTTAAACCAATCCCAGGTCAACCCTACTCAAGCTGTAAGACATGATTAATTCTAAAAGATTTAACCTTTTCTCTTTTATTAAATAGCTTCAGAAATCCCATGTGTTTTATTTTTTTAAATATGTTTTTATAGACTTTTTAGAAAGAGAGCAAGGGAGAGAGAGATAGAAACATCTATGTGAGAGAGAAACATTGGTCGGCTGTTTCCTCCACACCCCCTACTGAGGATTGAGCCCAAAACTGGGGTTATGTGCCCTAACAGGAAATTGAACTGGGACCTCTCAGTCCATGGGACGACAGTCCACTGAGCCACACCAGTGCAGTCCACTGAGCCACACCAGTGGGGCTAACTCAGATGCTTCTTAACTTCCTGGCTTAAATGTCATATTAATATTATTTGTTCATTTAACTTAAGTATCTGAATGTACCTCTCTGGCCATTTCAGGTTTATATTACCAAAATTATAACTAACTTGCAGTTCATTTTAGTCAGTATGCTTTCCTGTTCTTAGATAAAAATATAAGTAATAGCCCTGGCCAGTTTGGCTCAGCGGTTAGAACATCAGCCTGCAGTCCAGAGAGACCTGGGTTCGGTTCCCACTAAGGGCGTGGAGTTTGGTTGCAGTTTTTCCCCAGCCCTGGTTGGTCGTGCGGGAAGCAGCCACTCGATGTGTCCCTTTCACGTCGATGTTTCTCTCTCTCTCTCTTCCTCTCTCTCCCACTCTATCTGAACAAAAAATGGAAAAATGTCCTTGGGTGAGGATAAAAAAAAAAAAAAAGTAATAGTGTGCACCTACTCCCTACTAGACTATGAGCATCTTGAAGATAAGGATCATATTTGTGTATGTGTGTGTTCAATCTCTGCACCTTGCATAGTGCTCTAGTTTAGAAAGAGTTTGATAAGTATTTCATGGAAGTTGTCTTTTTCTCTCTTAAAATGGATTCCTGTTTTCTGAATCTCATATTTGCCTTGTTTTTCTGGGTACATCCTCCAGTACCTGTTGGTATTTTTATAGGGATTGTGACAAATTAGAAAATTAATTTAGGGAAGACTTTTATATCTTTATAATGGGAGTTTTGAATAGGAAATTCAGGAACGTAGTAAATCTTCTATATATTCAAGTAAAACGATGTATCTCACAAGAGTGTTTTGAAGTTTTTCTAAAAATGATTTTGCACATTTTTGGTTAATTTTAATTCTAGATATTACTTTTTTTGTTATTATACATAAGGGCTATACTTTTAAATTATATGATCTAATTGACTATTATGTGTGAAAGATATTGATTTCTGCATCCTGTTATCTTAATAAATTATCTTACTATTGTAATAGTTTTGCAGTTTTCTTTTGGGTTCTCCAAGTATTCAGCCATATAATCTCCAAATAGAGATAGTTTATCTCCTTGTTTTTAATTTCTTTTTTATTTTATTTATTTATTTATTTATTATTTATTTTATTTAGTTTTTAATTTTATTTTTATTACAGATGTTTCTCCTCTTTTACTCCATTGACACCTTCCTCTCCAGTCCTCCCCCCGCCCCATCCCTGGCTTTGTTGTCCATGTCCGTTGGTTGTGCATACACGCATATAAGTTCTGTGGTTTATCTCTTCCCACCCCCCACCATCCCCTCTTCTGAGGGTTTTTTGGAAATCTATTTTATTTTTTTATCCTCACCCGAGGACATTTTTTGATGTTTTGTTCAGATAGAGTGGGAGGGGGAGAGAGAGAGAGAAACATTGATGTGAAAGGGACACATTGAGTGGCTGCCACCTGCACAACCAACCAGGGCTGGGGACAAACTGCAACCGAGGTACATGCCCCTAGCGGGAACCGAACCCGGGTCTCTCCGGACCACAGACCGACGCTCTAACCACTGAGAAAAACTGGCCAGGGCTCTCTTTGTTTTTAATTTCTGTATTTATATTTGCTTCCTATGTTAGTATAACACAATAGAATACACTATTAAATCATAGGCTTTCTTATTCCTGATTTTAGAAGAAGTTGTTTCAGTGTTCTCCCATTAAATAAGATGCTGTATTTTAGACTGACTATATGTTTACATATATATGCATGATATAATCATAGCATAGCTATATAAGATTTTAGTTTATACTATATACATTTTAGTTAATAATTGATTTTAGAGCGAGAAAAAGGAAGGGGGAGAGAGATAGAAACAGATGAGAAAGAACATCAATTGGCTGCCTCCTGCATGTCCCCCACTGGGGTTCAGGCCCATGTGCCTTGACCAGGAATTGAACCAGCGACCTCTTGGTTTATAGGTTGATGCTTAACCACTGAACTGCAGCCGGCCAGGCTATAGCATGAATACTTTAACTTAGCAGTGTATATTTGATATGTAAAAATAAGTGCTCGTTATTTCTAATTAATACCAACTTTTATATTGGATTGGATAGATTTCTAATTGAGATGACTGGCACATTTTTCTAATGGTGATACTGGAAAATATAGTAAAATTATGGATGTAAAGTGAACTTAATGATAAGCCCATATTCAAAAGGTCTTAAATATTAGACAGAAGAATTTATAATTCAAATCAGACCATAAAAAAGATTTGAGCAATTTAGAACAAAATTTAGGAGAATTAATCTAACAACATGGAGCAGAGAGATTTTTTAGTACGTAGCATGCAGTTGACTTGTAAATGATACCTTTTTTCTTTTCTCTCCTTAGGAAATTGAACTTAGTTCATTAAGGGAGGCTTTGTCTTTTGTGTCGTTAATTGATGGATATTATAGATTAACTGCAGATGCACATCATTACCTCTGTAAAGAAGTAGCATCTCCAGTGGTGCTTGAAAATATACAAAGCAACTGTCATGGTCCAATTTCGTGAGTAATACAGACTTTAGAAGTAAATTTTAAAATAGTAAATGAGATATTTACAAAGAAGGTTTTACACAACAGAATGATATACATAGGTTTAGGAATTTAGAAAAACTCTTAACTAAAGTTGTTTTTCATAACAAAGTCTATTTACAATCAGATTAAATAATAATTAGAATTATTTTGGATATAATTTATCACCTGTATCTCAATCTGGAATACTTCTTACCAGTATAAGTTTGACATTTAGTTTTCTAGGTGTGTTATGAGATAGTGAAAAGTGAAACAGATGATTCCTGCTTTCATGTAGATTGCATTTTGACTTTTCTTTAAAAATGTGCAGCAAATAAAACATACAGCAAACAATTTTTTTAAGAACTCATTAGTGGATATTACATTTTATTTTATTTATTCATTGATATCTTTTAGAGAGATAGAAACACGATGTGAGAAATAAACATTGATTGGCTGCCTCCTGCATGCTCCACACTGGGAATCAAGCCTGCAACTCGGGCATATACCCTGATTGGGAATCAAACTGGGACCTCTCAGTCCATGGGATGATGCTCAAACCACTGAGCTACACCAGCCGGGCAGACATATAGCAAATTTTAAAATTCAGTAGTCTTTGTTACTTGTCATGGGTCTTCAACTAGACTTTGGTATTATATTAAAATAATGCACATAAATATTTTTATTAGAAATTGCTATGGTAGAAGACACAAGTATTTTATAATATATTGTTTGCATAGTTAAATGAAGTTTTATGAGAGTGAGTATGGTTTTTTATTATTATTATTTTTTTTTATCCTCACCTGAGGACATTTTTCCCATTTTTTGTTCAGATAGAGTGGGAGGAAGAGAGAGAGAGAAAAAAACATTGATGTGAAAGGGACACATCGAGTGGCTGCCACCCGCACGACCCAACCAGGGCCGGGGACAAACCGCAACCAAGGTATGTGCCCTTAGCGGGAACTGAACCTGGGTCTCTCTGGACCACAGGCCGATGCTCTAACCACTGAGCCAAACCGGCCAGGGTGTGAGTATGGTTTTTAAAATACTAAGTTTGCAATTAGAAGGCAGAAAATTCAAATGAATGAATTATTTTTTGTGATTTTGTGTGTCTTGTAATACCTTATTTGTTTTTAAAGCAATATAATTGTGCCTTGAATTGGTTTGAACTTTCAGTATTTTTCCATATAAGATTATTGATAAATTTATGAAGTAGAGGAGACTTCTAAAAATTCTGAGTTTTAGATTTGACTTTTGATTGTTTAGATGACATATTGCTATGTTATCATTCACATTACTTCTTTACCTTTAGAATGGATTTTGCCATAAGTAAACTGAAGAAAGCAGGTAATCAGACTGGACTCTATGTACTGCGATGCAGTCCTAAGGAGTTTAACAAATATTTTTTGACGTTTGCTGTTGAGGTTAGTATGTCATATTAATTAACAGTAACATCTTTATTTAGTCTATATAATTTCCCCTTCATGTTTATCTACCATATATATTTCCTTCTTAATACTCTGAATTATAGCTCCCAGTATAACTAACATAATAATGTTTAATGTACCTAGGGATTGTGCATATATAATAAAACACAATTCCTAGGATTTATATAAAAATATAAAGTAATATATACTGACCTTCTGTCTTTTAATGTGGAATTTATTTTACTTTATTTTTTTGATGTTTGGGTGTCACAAGCGTGTCAAATTGCATCAAGTCTCTTTTTTCAGAAAAATGCAAACCTTTACCAAAACATATAGAACAAAATAAATCAGAACCAAACTTTCCTTTTACTAGTAATGGTTACAAGATTTGAGTGAAATAGGGTAATAGCAAAGAGCAAACATTATTAAACTTTCAGCTAGTGGTTTTTCTTTTTAAATTTTTTTTTAAATCCTCACCCGAGGATATATTTTATTAATTGATTTTAAAGAGAACGAAAGGGGGAGAGAGAAAATCATTGATGTGAGAGAGAAACATCAATCGGTTGCCTCCCATTTGCACCCTGACGGGGTGTCAAACCCAAAACCTAGATATGTGCCCTGACTGGGAATCAAACCCTTAACCTTTTGGTATATGGGATGGTGCTCCAACTGACTGAGTAGCCCAACCAGGGCTAAATAGTGGTTTTTCAATATTAAGAATAACAATCTTAATGTGGTTTTAAGCATAAAATTACAATGAAACCTCACTGTTAATACAGATTATTTGGATGTCACCTAAGATTGTTTACTATCTAAAATTACCTAAAAAGATACTATCACTTATAAGGCAGTTTCATGGTATAAATCTTGAGAAACTTTATATCAGGTTCCAAAATTTATCTTGCTTTTTAAGAATAAAGTAAGGATTTTATTATTCAGTTATTTTAAGTTCTATAAAATATAATTATCTTATATTTAGCATATGTAGAGTGGATTTATTGTCCATAAAAACAATTATACAAATACACAAATACAATTTTACAAATACAGTAGTCACACAGTGGAATGGGTAATCACCTTTGCTTGTGGAATGTGGAGAGAGTTGTAGGGAGGACCTCACAGAAAGTGGTACTTGAACTGAGTTTTAAGAATGAATAAAAGTCCATTGCTCAGAAGAAGATACACATTTATAGGTGGAGAGAGAGCTTATACAGTTATCAAGGCATGAAATAGCATAGCACTTGCTTGGAATATTTTGAGTCACTTTAATATAGCTAGAACATATGCTGTATTTTAGGAGTGGCAGAAGTTGAGATTAGAGATGGGAGCAGAAGCCTGCTCAGGGAACGCCTTATTATACACTAAATTAGTAATGGACTTTATCTTATAAATGATGGAAAACTGTTAAGGATGGTGTTATTATTAATTATCATTTCTTTTTTTTTTTAATAAAGTCAACTCTTAAGCTATTTCTGTAGGCTATACAATACATTCCTTTTTGAGGAATCAAGCACTTCTATCACCCTAAACTGATACTACATTAAGATTCATGATTCAAATATCTAAATATCTTGGTTATTTTTGTGAAGTCCTTTTTGTCAAAATAGTCATTATGGTGTTCATTGTGATTTTCCCTCCCTCTCTTTATAATTAAATGTATATAGCGAGAAAATGTCATTGAATATAAGCACTGTTTGATTACAAAAAATGAGAATGGAGAATATAACCTCAATGGGACTAAGAAGAACTTCAGTAATCTTAAAGATCTTTTGAATTGCTACCAGATGGAAACTGTTCGCTCAGACAATATAATTTTCCAGTTTACAAAATGCTGTCCCCCAAAGCCAAAAGGTAAAATACTTTTCTAGTTATTTTAAAAGTATGGGTCATGGCTTGTGTATATAGTGAGTGATATCTTCAGTATATTGATTTAAAAAGAAATATGAAAGAAGCAGCTTTAAAAACAAATTAATTTTATAAATAAATCCTCAAATAGGATTCTTTTATAGATAGATCCTCAAATAGGATTGTTCAGTTTGGTTTGGATTTTCTAGAAGTGATATAAAGTTCCATAATTCTAAAATGATATTTAAAAATAATAATGCTGAATATAAATCAGTCACTTACTTATTAAAGTGAAAGAAAGACCTCACTTCCAAATTCACATATGTGGCTCTAAGTGAAAACTTTCGTATTCTTTTAGAATTTCAATTTCTATACTTTTAAAATAAAAACAGTAAGGTTGGAAATCTCATGAAATAATATGATTATAAAAATTATTAAATTCCTGAAAATTTATATTAGTTAAGGAAGAGATTATAACTTTGAATATTTGAAATAACTGGCTAGATAGAATACATTAAAATTCAATGAGTAAACTACTAAAATAATTTTCTATGGAATAAAGTGAACAGTAAGAAGTTGTTAAGCATTCCTTATATTTGGAACACATTTTATTTTACCCCTTTTGGAGCAGTTTATATCCTCAGTATGTTTTGATTATATATGTTTTTCATCATCATTATTATTTTTTACAGATAAATCAAACCTTCTAGTTTTCAGAACGAATAGTGTTTCTGATGTACCAACCTCACCAACATTACAGAGGCATAATAATGTGAACCAAATGGTGTTTCACAAAATCAGAAATGAAGATTTAGTATTTGTAAGTCATTAGATGCTAATTATTGTCTTTTTGTCCTTTTAAAATAACAACTGTTTCCCATTTTCATTCATGTAAAATTTGGAACTATTTTATTATAACCTATATTGTTAAAATTTTATTGCAGTTTAAATATTTTTATTTCTTGTGAAAGTGTAATACCAAACGAGTTAGAAATTAGTAAAATTAATTCGTTTAATAAGGGGCACTGGCCAGTTTGGCTCAGCGGTTAGAGTGTCGGCCTGTGGTCGAGAGAGACCTGGGTTCAGTTCCCGCTAAGGGCAAGTACCTTGGTTGCAGTTTGTCCCCGGCCCTGGCTGGGTTGTGTGGGTGGCAGCCACCTGATGTATCCCTTTCATGTTGATGTTTCTCTCTCTCTCTCTTCCTCTCTCTCCCTCCCGCTCTGAACAAAAAATGGAAAAATGTCCTCGGGTGAGGATAAAAAAAAAAAAGAAGGGAATTGTATTTTTTGCAGGATTAAAAAAGTTTTTTTGTAAATCTTAAATTAAAAATAAAAAATATTCTTATACAAAAGACCTCTATCTTAATTCTCAAGGTATAGAGAAAGTAAGGGAAGTTCAAGTGGTTAAAAATAAAGAAGATGCCCTGGCCGGTTTGGCTCAGCGGTTGGAGTGTCGGCCTGCAGTACAGAGACCCCGGGTTCGGTTCCCGCTAAGGGCATGTACCTCGGTTGCAGTTTGTCCCCGGCCCTGGTTGATCGTGCGGGTGGCAGCCACTCGATGTGTCCCTTCACATCGATGTTTCTCTCTCTCTCTCTTCCTCTCTCTCCCTCCCGCTCTATCTGAACAAAAAATGGAAAAATGTCCTCGAGTGAGGATTAAAAAAATAAATAAATAAAGAAGAAACTGAAAACAAAGTAGTACATAAGAGCTCATGTTTTGGCTAGTGTTGGGGGTTGGGATTAGTCTCACTAATTAAAGGGATTAAGATCTAAACGCAGGGCCAAGTTTTAAGGCCTACAGAAGACCAGGAGTTAAAAGCGAGGCCTTCTCTGAATAAAGCCAGGACCTTCAAATAAATGCATTCTCAGTAAAACAGTATGTGGATTGTGAAAAATTCACCCACTAGCAAAAGGGGAAGAGGAGTGTTGTTTTAGTTGGGCTCTTAGGAAAAAAGTGTCTCCTGAGAATTTGTAATCATAGGCTTTTGAGTTTGGGTTTCTTTATACCACCTGCATGATCTGAGAAACCCTAAGCTAATAAATTAAAATAAAAAATTATACTCCCCTAGTTATACTCTGTGGTGCTTGGCAGAAGCAGAAACAACATCTTTTTGGAAGAACATACTCTTGACCTAGGTCACCTAGGACCCCACAGATGAAATGACTTCAAACATGAGCTTTTAATTGAAAAAATTCAAAGAAATAATCCAAGAGTAAGCAAGAGTCAGCAGACCAACAAACATAAAAAGTATTTTATATAACAGACTTTCTAGAAAGAGATTATAAAATGCATACATATTTTTAAAGATATAAAAGGAGTTGAAAACGTGGGAAAAAAGACCAAAATATTTAGAGAAGAAAAATATAGATATGAAAAATATACTCATTGACATTAAAACAGAATGGACAGGCTAATAAGCAGATTATTTATCATTGAGGAGGTAATTAGTAAGTTGGAAGACAGATCTGAAAATTATTCAGATATAGTAGATAGGGAGAAAGAAATGGAAATTATGAGAGAGATATTAAGGAACATAGTGAGCAGAATGAGAAAGAGTAAGATCAACTGATACCCGAGTTCCATAAAGAGACAGTAGATAGCCCTGGCCAGTTTGGCTCAGCAGTTAGAGCGTCGGCCTGCGGTCTGGAGAGACCCGGGTTCGGTTCCCGCTAAGGGCACGTACTTCAGTTGCAGTTTGTCCCCGGCCCTGGTTGGTCATGCGGGTGGCAGCCACTCGATGTGTCCCTTCACATCGATGTTTCTCTCTCTCTCTCCCTTCCTCACTCTCCCTCCCACTCTATCTGTACAAAAAATGGAAAAATATCCTCGGGTGAGGATAAAAAAAAAAAAAGAGAGACAGTAGATATAATTATCATGAATTATAAAGATATGAATCCTCAGGTGAATAATGGGGAGCAAAGAGTCTCCAGGTAACCTAACAGTACAAAACTAATAATAGCAGAGTTTCAGTTTGAACATAGGCAGCCCTGCTTCAGAGTTCAGGGTTTCAACAATTACCCTGTAAGGATATGCAAGCAATACTAGTAATATTAGTAATAGCTAATTATTGAGCATTTACTATATGTTATGGACTGTACTAAGTGCTTTCATGTATTATTCACTTATTATTCATAACAGTCTATGGAAAAGTAGTTATTCCCATTTCTCCAATGATGAAACCAAGACAGCTGCAGCAGAGAGAAATTAAATTGCCTGTACAGGGTCACACAACTAGAAGGTGGTAGGTAATTTGGAACAAGTCAGATATTCTACCACCACAGACCATACTGCACTGCCTTTCTACTGCACTATTAGGAAAGGCAAACAACAACAACAAATATTCGCATGTAAATAAATGTAGGTAAAACACTGCCACTGTAAATAAGTGATAATTATAGCTAATTCAGAGGGACTTAAGAACTAGGTAGAACCAAAATGTGCTTTTTCATTAATCCTTGTTTTCTTGTCTTCTATTATGGTGCAAGGAAACATAATTAATTTGGAGTCTTAAATCTGCATTTAGTTTGTAAGGGAAATATTTGCTCATGGATTTTTTTTTTAACTCTTTGTCATTGAACATACTTCCTAATTTGGACATCTTCATCCATCTTGACTCACTCTTTTCTTTCTTTCTTTTAAAGAATGAAAGCCTTGGCCAAGGCACTTTTACAAAAATTTTTAAAGGTGTAAGAAGAGAAGTAGGAGACTATGGTCAACTGCATGAAACAGAAGTTCTTTTAAAAGTTCTGGATAAAGCACATAGAAACTATTCAGAGGTGCGTATGTTCTTTGTGTAGTTCATGTAGTTTACAATATTTAAAGATGTGGTCTCATATGCACACAACACATTCATGTTTGCAGTTTTTCAAAATTGTAACTTTAAAAAGTATATCTATCAAGGACCTTTCTCAGGATGCCTTCTACTGTGGTTACAGAAAACTATAGAATATTTTTTATAATAATATTTCCAAACTAATTACATTTAGCATTGTGTTATGAGCATTATTATGTCTCTGCATATACTAAGGCAGTGGTTTGCAAAGTTGGTTCCTAGAGCTTTATGGGTTACACAGATTTCCTTCACAATTTCATCTACTTAAAAAAAACAAGAGAGAGTTAGCCCTGACTGGTGTGACTCAGATTGTTGAGTGTTGTCCTGTGCACTGAAGGGTTGCCGGTTTGATTCCTGGTCAGGGCACATGCCCTGACTGCAGGCTTAATCCCTGGTAGGGGGTGTGCATGAGGCAGCCTACTGCTGTTTTATTCTCACATCGATGTCTGTCTGTCTGTCTCTCTCTCCCCTTTCCCTCTCCCTCTCCCTTCCACGTTCTCTAAAAATCATTTAAGAAAAAAAAAAAAAGAGAAAGTTCGTACTAAGGAACATTTAGGGTAAAATATGGATTCCAAATATACCAGCCCACAGAAACCCAGTTACCATCAAGTGTTGATGAATGTGAGTCTCAACAACCATAGCCAGAAGTTCTAGTCAAAGTGTAATTGAGTTAGAGTGATGTTAATACCATGCTAATCTCCCAACATAGTTGTCATGATATTTTATCTGCACAGAAATTATTCTTAATTCTTTAGGAAGTGTTATTTGAAGCTCCCATCCATTTACTTCAGTCCCATATTACTATCTTGGTGTCTACTTCTGTTTGTACCTCTGTCTTCTACTCTAGGTGCCATGGGTCTAAGCCTGTTTATCTTCCATCATTCATGTTGCCCGATACCACTCTTGCTCTCTTTCATTTTCATTGCTATCCCTAGTTCAGCTTTATTGAGGGGTTTCCTCTGAGTGAACTCTAGCATTTAGGCTGATGACATTGCAAGACCATATAAGGCAGTGGTTTTCAACCTTCCTAATGCTGTGACCCTTTAATACAGTTCCTCATGTTGTGGTGACCCCCAACCATAAAATTATTTTTGTTGCTACTTCATAACTAATTTTGCCACTGTTATGTCTTAGGCGACCCCTGTGAAAGGGCCGTTGACTTGCAAAGAGGTCGCGACCCACAGGTTGAGAACTGCTGAAAGGGGACCAAACCACATTGTAGCCTTATCTATATAGTTCTGCTGAGAATAGGAGAAAGTTTGTTTATCTTATGTCAAAGAGTACCTTTCTGAACTGTGAATACTTATAGGCACAAATAATAATTCTTTTGCATTTTTTGTATGGTTTTCTTTTCCTTAGTCTTTCTTTGAAGCAGCAAGTATGATGAGCCAGCTTTCTCACAAGCATCTGGTTTTAAATTATGGAGTATGTGTCTGTGGAGAGGAGAGTAAGTAAATCTCTGGCTTCTTTATATTAATGTTAAGCATTTCTCAGTACATCCATTTTTGTTTGAATTATATAGAAAATTCAATTTCAGGATCATAGTTATGTATCAATATAAACCATAGTTTAATAGGAATTAAATATTCTTGAAACCAAAATGTTGTAGAACTATTTGGTTAGGTCTTCTAAAAAAGGAAGCAAATGAATGAAATTGAAATGCAGAAAATAGTTAATATGGCTTATGTTAACATGCTAAAACAATAAAGTGTATTACAGTGAACAATGTGTACTAATACCCCAACAATATACAGGGTGGGGCAAAAGTAGGTTTACAGTTGTGAGTATGCAAGACAGAGTTTATTCTTGTATTATTATTTGTTAATTATTTTCCATATAAACAACTGTAAACCTACTTTTGCCCAACCCTGTAGATTATGGCTGGTTAATATAACATTGGGATAACTGGCCATTTCACTATAGTACCCATTTATTTGGAATTATAAAGCCAAAGCATATACACTGTAGACTGATTTTTAAAAATAATATATTGATTTTTAGAGAGAGAGTAACATTGATGTGAGAGTGCAACATCGATTGGCTGCCTTCTGCATGCCTCCTACTGTGGATTGAGCCCACAACACGGGCATGTGCCCTGACCATGAATTGAATTGGCAACCTTTCTGTGCACAGGATGACACCCAGCCAACTGAGCCACACTGGCCAGGGCTAGACCTATTTTTTTTTTTTATTTAAGAGAGAGAGAAACATCAATGTGAGAGAGACATATCGAGTGGTTGCCACCCACACAACCCCAACCAGGGCTGGGGACAAACTGCAACTGAAGCACGTGCCCTTAGTGGGAACGAACCCAGACATCTCTGGTCTGCAGGCCGATGCTCTAACCGCTGAGCTAAACTGGCCAGGGTTAGACCTTTTTTTAATGAAACTGACTGAAATGATTAAATGTTGATATTAGATATATTCTGTCTAAATTTAAACTGTTCATAAAACTCACAAGGTTTACATTCAGAAACTTTATGTAATTCCCCATTTTCCTATTAGTAATATGGATTAGATATGCACCCATACTTATATAACATTGCTTCATATATTTGAAAATTGATAGTCTTTTCAAAGGCAGTGGCTTTCAAATACATTTTCTGGAAGTTCCTCAGGTATTTCAGGGGGTTAATAAAATAGTGGAGAGTTCTGCCCCATCACCACAAAAGAGAGTGGCTCTGTATTTATCTCTTTTATTTATTGATGTTTCTCATGATTTTTCACTCGGGGAAAAGAAAGAATACACTTAGAGCATATAATCCCAATTTTACACTTGCTTTTGTACTTATTGTTTCTGTATGCACTTTTTCACATTTAAAAATATCTGAAATTTAGAAGTTGTGATATAATTGATGTCATGTCAGTTTAATGGGTAATTTTTTCTTTTATGACAAAATAAGAGGACATATGACAATCTATATATGTACCTATGAAACATAGTAGGTCTTAAATGCCACATAAAAAGGTTTTATTAAGCTCCTGTTCATTGTAACTCCTAGATTTCCTTCCTTCCTCCCTTCCTCCCTTCCTCCCTTCCTCCCTTCCTCCCTCCCTCCCTCTCTTTCTCTCTCTCTCTCTTTCCTCTGACACTTTCCCTGACAAATTTAGCTGCGGGCAATTTCTTTTAATTAAATTTATTGGGGTAACATTAGTCAATTTTTAATTATTGTTATGTGGATTGTTCTTCAAATTATCTATTAATTTAACTTGTTTTTGTTACCCAGCAAAATCCAAAGGCAACTTTTGTCACCAACAGTTGTTACCTATCAAATGAAAACTAAGTCATTTTAATATTAAATCAAGCAGAATAACAATTTGAGATTAGATATACAGTATGCATTTTAAAGCAAATACACGACACTTAGGCATGTTTGAAGTATATGCACTTAATAACTCACTGAGTCATGAACTAACATGGATTACTATGTGAAGTCAGAATTTCTTTTTTATCCTCACCCAAGGACATTTTTTCATTTTTTGTTCAGATAGAGTGGGAGGAAAAGAGAGAGAGAGAGAGAGAGAGAGAGAGAGAGACATCACTGTGAAAGGGACTCATTGAGTGGCTGCCTCCTGCATGCACAACCCAACCAGGGTCGGGGACAAACTGCAACTAAGGTACGTGCCCTTGGCGGGAACCGAACCCGGGTCTCTCTGGACCGCAGGCCAACGCTCTAACTGCTGAGCCAGACTGGCCGGGGCTGAAGTCAGAATTTCTTTAAAAATATATATCATGATAACGTACTTACAATTCTTGAATTTTTGTTGTTTTTATTTTGTATCTTAGTTTTTCACTATTTAATTTTGAAAACAGCACTATTTATGCTTTGTAAAAGAAGCAAAATAACCACAATTAATTCAAATTTAAAATCGAGAACTTTTTATTCTATTACAAATTATTACTAGATGAATATAAATAAACCCTAAACCTAGTTAATTACTTTATTAAATAACATGCATTTATGTAGAAACAGTCTTGGCTTTCAGGAACTAAGTCAATATTAACAGGGTTGGGAATTTTTACTGTGTCTTAAAGGCAGTCAGCACTGTTTTTAAGAGCAATACTTGTTTCTCTGGCAAAATATATCTTAATAGTATTTTTAAAAAATTGTTTTAAAGATAAAGCAATGAAAATCACTGATTTTTTTACAGCATAAATTAAAGGAATGGATGCAGTTCAAACTCAGATTATCCTTTATGCCTCCAATAGAATAGACATGAAATTCTTATTAATTTTTGTGTGCGAAAGAAGAAATTCAGGAAGTTTTGAATGTAAATAGTTTCATGGAAGAAAAATTACTTATGTGAGAAATTTTTATTTGTTTTAAAAAAACAGCCCTAATTCAGTAATGATACATAAGGTATGCTGAAGTAACATTTCATACACACACACACACGTTATATTTATGTATATACATATATATTACATGTCATGTATATATAAATATATAATAGCATTATACAATATGTTATGTGTATTGTTATATATTACATATATATGTAATTCATAATTATGTATAATATTATATATATAAAATTGTTTAGATTTCTACTTCTTGCTGTTGTAAGTAAACTAACCCCCTAAATGGTATATAGCTGTTTAGCTTTCTTTAAACAAGTGAATTTTATGTAGTTTAATCTCTTTTCCTATAATACCCACATATAACTATAAATATATTTATACAAGTTTAAAATTATATTTTCTATTGTATGTGTACTTGAGCCTTATCATTATTATATTTTGATGCAGATATTCTGGTTCAGGAGTTTGTGAAATTTGGATCACTAGATACATATTTGAAAAAGAATAAAAATTCTATAAATATATTATGGAAACTTGAAGTGGCTAAACAATTGGCATGGGCCATGCATTTTCTAGTAAGTAATTAGTATATTCTTTTTTTTTTTTAAATCCTCACTCAAGGATATATTGATTTGAGAGAGAGTGAGAGAAAAACATTGGTTGCCTCTTGTACTCACCCAATTGGGGATCGAACCCGCAATCTAGGTATGTACCCTGACTAGGAATTAAACCCACAACCTTTTGGTATACAGGATGATGCTCTTACCAACTGAGCCACCAGGCCACGGCAGTATATTCTTTTATTAGGAGTTTGTTTTATCTTATGAAGCAATGTAGAAAGGATCTTAACCTGGGAATAAGAAATAAATCTGTAAATGGATGTTGAGTTATTTAAAATAATCTGTGTTATTTTATGAAAGGTATTATTTTAGGCAAATGTTTATGAAAATCACTTTTAAAAGAAATAGTTTTGTCACTTCAGCAACACTTAGAAATAGATACTACTTAAAATCTCAACTTTAGAAAGTGAAGTGGCATTGGGTGGTTTTAATGTATTTGTTTTATTATGGGTATAGGTTATTGTGTCATTTAAAATGTAAAACAGAAAGCACAGTGTTGCCATAAAATTTTCTTTTATTATTTCAAAGCATACCTCCAAATTAATGTTTATTAATTAATACTGTCTTATTTTTATTCTTTAAATCCATTTTGAGGCCTAAGACATATTAAGTGCTCATATATTTGTGGATTCATATTTGAATGTATGTATATTTTACTCTAATAGGAAGAAAAAACCCTTATTCATGGGAATGTGTGTGCCAAAAATATTCTACTTATCAGAGAAGAAGACAGGAAGACAGGAAATCCTCCTTTCATCAAACTTAGTGATCCTGGTATTAGTGTTACAGTTTTGCCAAAGGACAGTAAGTTCTACAGGAATCATATTTAACTTTATAAAGTTTTACTTGGAGGGTTGCATAAAAACCTGTTAATTTTTTAAAACTATTTTATTGAGATAGTCTTGATTAATAATAAAATGTACCTACCATTTTTAGAAATCTAAAGTTATAGTTATATCGTCTTTCTGTCCATTTGTTTTTGTAAACCTGTTACTAGGGTGTCAGCTGATGGTCATTGGTGCTAATTCATTGCCAACAGGAATCCCCAAATTGGGGTGTGGTGAAAAGGCAATTTTATTCAGTACAAAATAGCTTAATTGTGATATAGCATGGCTGTGAAAACATCATGGCTGTGAAGCAACCCTAGGGCCAGACCCCTGTCTGGCTAGACAGCCCTCTTTGCTCCTTGATGGTCTGCTCTGCTTTTTGCCAGTCTGCTTTGCACTGTGCTGGGCTGCTCCCTTCTGCCCCATTGAGAAGCCAGCGAAATGTAGTTTCCAGCCTTTGGTGGAAAGGGAAAGTGTCTCCAGAGTCAGAGAAGAGCTGGCTTATATAAATAGAAGTTCCTGCCCCTGGTCCCTGATTGGTCTGTCCTCATGTAAATGAATACTACAAATCCTCACAGTTTGATTAGTCCAAAAGGCACTGTCCTGATTGGTCAGAATAGAACCGCTCTTATTGGTTGCAGCTGAGCAGCTCCAGTTGGATGGGGAAAGCCCAAGTTCTGTTGGTTGAAATAGGATTTCAGGAACTCCTTTATAAGGGTTGGCTTAGATGGCAGAAACACAGTTCCGGCTTTTCCCTAAAGTGCAGTTTGCATGAGAGGCCCTTGTGTAGACTTGGCTGCTAGACTCTGTTCTTGTTTTTTGTTTATTTTAATTTGAGCTCAATTAGCCATCAGGAGCCCTTCTTAGTAGGCATCTTTCTCAGGGGCCACAGTACTGTAGATGATTTTTAAAAACAGTTTTAACCCCTAATTATGTATGGAAGGTCAGATTTTCTTCATATTTATTTATTTATTTAGAGACTATGATAATACGCAAAAATCTTGGCTCTTCCTAAATATTTTCTTAAAATAGATCCTTACAGTGTAATTGCTGGATCCAGGGATGGGAACATTTTTAAGGCTCTCGAATCAAGTCATCAGGGAGCTCTCTGAAAAAGTGGTATTCAACTGACCTCAGATGGCTTTCAAGCTTTGGAGCACTCTTAATTTCATAGATGAAAATCACATCTCACTGTTTTGCTTTGCTGTTCTGTGATTATTCATGACACTGAAGAGTTTTTCATAAATTTATTGTATGTTTGTATTTGCTTTTTACTGCACTTTTTCTTAACATCTTTGGTTCATTTTTCTCTGCGGGTCTTAGTGAACTTTTTATTGATCCCTGTGTATTCTTCATGGAGTAATATTAACCTTTCTCATTTTGTGTCAAATTCTTTACAATTCTGATTTACCTTTTAATTTTTTTAACATTAAGATTGTTTAAATACTAAAATTTGTTGATAATTTTCTCTATAATTTCTTCCATTGCTTTTATGCTTTGAAAGTTCTTTTCAATACACAGATCAAATATTCACATAATGTTTTTCTAGATATTTTATGTTCTTTGTTTACATCTTATTCTCATTGAACTGGAGTTTATTTTGATGTGCAGTGTATCTAAATTGACATTTTTTGGAGGACTTAGCCAGTTTTACCCACTGTTTCTTTGGTATTAATTAATGTGTCCTTCGTTTGTCATCTACTGTATTCCTCTTAATACTGGGATGTGCTTTAGACGCGTACTTCTCTTACCTGTGTCAAATGACCTTTGTTTTATTACTTTATCCATACTTTTAAAAAACAGTTTTAATTCCTAATTATGTATGGAAGGGCAGATTTTATCCATTTTCTAAGTGAAAATTTCAAATATCATTCTATGAACCACAAGTAAATTTTCTAAATTTTTCTTTCCTTAGTTACTAAATAAAAATTTGAGAAGATATGTTTATGTACTTTGAGATCTTATTTAGTTTAATTATTCAGCTAATTCTGACTTTTAAAACCTTTTTAAAAATAAAATAACCTTCCTTATGCGTTTTTAACCCATTTAATTTAAATGAAAATTTTAGTTAAATAGTTGAGAGGAGTTATTTTGGTCCAAATAATGTAATTGTATTTCATTATCTTAGCTAATTTCTCTAATAGAATGTTCTAAATTTAGAATCAAAATTGACCAACTTTTTTTGTGTATTGATGCATGCTATCCTGTTTGAGCCCATAGTACTTAAACTTCATGGCTCATCTGACAGTGAAGATAGATTATAAGGCAGAAAATGTTGTAGAATCTTGGACCCAGTACTCAGTGAAATTTTACCCTTTGGAATGGGAGGTGAAGAAAGAGAAAATATATTCATATGGTGAATGAGAAAGGTACATGTACTCTTTGAATATACCAAAAAATACAGCAGATTATCCTTCATTCTTATGTATCTTTATGCCAGAATACCAGAAGGTGCAGTTAATATGCTATTTTCTGAATACCCTTTTGGAGGGAAAATTTCATGATCTGAGCAGAACCTATATATATTGATTCTGTACCCAGAATATCTTGGTATAATTTAGCCATCCATCTGCCTATTGGCCCTTATTTTTTCACCCACAAAATAGCACTACCACTGCTATTTAAGACAGATTCAAATGATGCTAACGTTATCTTTACTGCTTACACATTGTAAGGAAATACAAAAAATATCAAGAGGCAAATTTTATGGGGAAAAAAATGTTTTTTTAAATGCAGAATTTTAATAGGAAGGGGTAGAGAGACACTGATTTAATGCAGCAATTTTCAACCTTTTTCATCTATGGCATTACTAATCTAATTACTAAAATTCTGTGGCACACCAAAAAATATGTTTTTTGCCAATCTGGAAAAAAAAGGTATAATTTTGATTCATTCACTAGATGGCTATTGTTGTGTTGGCTGTTGTTATTTTTTAATTTGACAGTCTGAGAGAAAAGAGGTCACTGCCCCTGACTAAATAGTCAGGTATTGCATGTTTTAAAAATTCTCATGGCACACCAGTTGAAAATCAGTGATTTACTGGAAAGAAGTTTAGTTGATCCAGGATTTATTGTACAGGATTCTAATTCTCTTAGTGCTACTAACAAATTGTGTGACTTTGGGCAAATTACTATGTCTTTATGGATCTCTGTTGTCATTGTTAAAGATGAGATAAGAATTAGATAATTATTCAAAACCGTTTGAAAATTATTTGCATATAAAAGAATTACTTGTGAGAACTATTTAACCATACAGTGTTCCTATCTTTAAAAGTTCTTCAGGAGAGAATACCATGGGTACCACCTGAATGCATTGAAAATCCTAAAAGTTTAAACTTGGCAACAGACAAATGGAGTTTTGGTACCACTTTGTGGGAAATCTGCAGTGGAGGAGATAAGCCTTTGAGTGCTTTGGATTCTCAAAGAGTAAGTTTATATAGGCTGTGGAGTTAGATTAATTCTGTGATCCTTTATGTTTCTTTCACATGATTTTATATTTTTTAGCCCATCTAATGTTAAAAAGAAGGTTGATAAGACATTATGCAATTCTCAATGTGTGGTTCTTTAATTATAGAAGCTACAATTTTATGAAGATAGGCACCAGCTTCCTGCACCAAAGTGGACAGAATTAGCAAATCTTATTAATAATTGTATGGATTATGAACCAGATTTTAGACCTTCTTTCAGAGCCATCATACGAGATCTTAATAGTTTGTTTACTCCAGGTATGTATTGATGGAGCAATCTTACTGATTCTCCAGCTATCTTTCTATTTTTGTTGTATTGAACAAATCTTTACTAACTGTGTAATCCCTTACAATAAGTTCTTTGATCTTCTAGAATTTCTGAATTTCTTATGGTCACATGACTTTCCTACTTTATACGTATTCTGGACTCCTTGATTAAGCAATCTTTTCATTTAAAAAAAAAGGCTTTTTCTTCTTTTTTTTTTATCCTCACCTGAGGACATTTTTCCATTTTTTGTTCAGGTAGAGTGGGAGGGGGAGAGAGGAAGAGAGAGAGAAACATCGATGTGAAAGGGACACATCGAGTGGCTGCCACCCGCACGACCAACCAGGGCCGGGGACAAACTGCAACCGAGGTACATGCCCTTAGCGGGAACCAAACCCGGGTCTCTCGGGACCGCAGGCCGACGCTCTAACCGCTGAGCCAAACCGGCCAGGGCAAGGCTTTTTCTTCTTTAGTTACATTTTAATCTGCCACTTGATGAGTAATATACTACAGAAGTTTGTCTTGTTTGAGTTTTTAAAAGCAACTCTTTGTTTTTTAAAAACTAGTTTTCATACATTTTATAATTGATTTTCTAAACATGAGGTAGATTTATTTTTGTTTGTCCTCTCCTTTAAAATATGTAGGTTTAGCATGTGTCTTGACCCACAGATATTTCCTGTTCCAATACTACTCTCTAATTTCAAGCAAAAGTCAGAATATATTCTTATTTTTAATCCTCACCTGAGGACATTTTTGCATTTATCTTAGAGTGGGAGGGGGGATTGGGAGAGAGAGAGACATTGACATAAGAGAGACACATTGACTGGTTGCTACTCACACAACTCCAACTAGGGCTGGGGACAAACCGCAACAGAGGGTACATGTCCTTAGTGGGAACCAAACCCGGGTCTCTCCGGTCCACTGACCGACGCTCTAACTGCTGAGCCAAACCGGCCAGGGTATAAATATAAAAACTACCTGTTTTGTAAAGTAATTATTTGTTCTTTGTAAAAATCTTTCTTGAAAACCTGTAAGATTATGGGTAATAATTAAAGGCTCCATTAATATAACCTAAACTATTAGTGTTACCCTGTATTAATTTGTATTTAGTATTTCTAACTCATTCTAATGTTTTTGGTCAGTTTGAATACATATTAATCTAACCCAGAGAATGTATTTTCCAGCTTATGGTGGTAATATTCTTTATTTCTGCAGATTATGAACTATTAACAGAGAATGACATGTTACCAAATATGAGGATAGGTGCCCTAGGGTTTTCTGGTGCTTTTGAAGACCGAGACCCTACTCAGTTTGAAGAGAGACACTTGAAATTTCTACAGCAACTTGGCAAAGTAAGATGACAGAAATTTTTTTAAAATATGTTTTTATTGACTTTTTAAAGAGAGAGAGGAAGGGAGAGAGAGAGAGAGAGAGTAACGTGAGCAAGAAACATCGATGCCCCCTGCATGCCCCCTACTAGGGATCGAGCCTGCAACCCAGGCATGTGCCCTGACTGGGAATCGAACTGTACCTCTCAGTCCATGGAACAACACTCAGTCCACTGTGACACGCCAGCCAGGCTGAAATTTTTTAAATAGTTAAATTATAATCATAGAACTTTTTATTTAGGGAAAAAAGGCTTTAGAAATTCTCTAAAGTTCACATTACACAAAACTTTAAGCAGAAAAAAAGGGTTTTGTTTTGTTATCAGATGTTGAGAAGTGCTGTGTTAAACAGCTATCTTTAAGAAGAACTTTTCAGAACCCTTAAAATGTAATGTGCATTGAACATCTTTGAAAATTAGGCAGTATTTTCCCCAATTGAGTTGGCCATGGGACTCTTTCATGGTAGAGGGCACTTTATTTGTGAAATAGAGAAAGGGACAATTAAATTAAGCCATTTTTTGTTTTTGGTAATTTTCACCTGAGGATATTTTTTACATTGATTTTTTTTTTTTAGAGAAAGAGGAAGGGAGGGGTTGGGGGAAAGAGATAGAGGGGAGAGAGGAGAGAGAGCGAAACATGGACTGATTGCCTCCTGCACATGCCCCATCCAAGGCCGGGGATCAAACCTGCAACCCTCTGGTGCAAGGGCTGATGTTCTAACCACTGAGCAGTGCTGGCCAGGGCTTCTTTTTAAAAAATCCTTACCCAAAGATATGTTTATTGATTTTAGAGAGAGGAAGAGAAAGAGAGTTGCCTCTCATATGAGCCCCAACCAGGAACTGAACCCATATCTTTCAGTGGATGGGACGATGCTCCAACCAACTGAGTCACCTGGCTAGGGCTAAATTAAGTATTGCTACTCATTTTCTTTTTTAATCATCTCAGGGAGAAACAATCTGATTGTTTAGAGTCTAGAGGTTGACTGGACTATGCTCACTTACATGGGCCTCTCCATAGGACTGCATCATAACATGGCAGCTGAGAAGAAACACCTAAGGTGGTGTTTTTTTAACCTAATCTCAGGAGAGACATTTCATCACTTGTTGTGTGGCTTGTATAATTAGAATAACTTTGAGCTTTTATGTGGTCTAAGTTTTTTTTTTAATTGGCTTCAACTGTATAACTGAAAATATAGTCACTTAGAATCTTGTAGCTCAAGGACTATGTTGTGTTTTTTTTTGTTTTTTTTAAATCATCACCCGAGGTTATTTTTCTATTTTATCTTCAGATAGATTGGGGGTTGGGGGGGGAGAGATGTGAGAGAGAGAGAGAGAGAGATGTGAGAGACACACATCGACTGGTTGCTTCCCGCATGACCCAACCAGGGCCTGGGACTGAACCGCATCTGAAGTATGTGCCTTGACCAGAATCGAACGTGCGATTCTTTGGTCCACAGGATAACCCTCTAACTGCTGAGCCAAACCTGCCAGGACTGTTGTTTTATTCTTTAAGAATGCCATAATTATCCAAAATATACTACTTTTTTTAATACCCAAAACTTATTTGTAAATGTTATATATCAACTTACCAACTCTGTACAGATAATAAATTTTAATAAAAAAGAGAACAGATTTCTTTAATGACTTACCTTAAAAAAAAAAAAAAAGTAGGAATATCCCCAAAAGCTAAAAATTACTTTCTTGAGCAAATAAATCAGACTTTGTATAAATCTGCTCAGGCTGCCATCAAAAAATACCTTAGACTTGGTGGCTTAAACATCAGATATTTATTTCTCATAGTTCTAGAGTCTGGAAATTCTGAAGTCAAGGTTCTGGCAGGGTTTGGTTGCTGGTGAGGGCTCTCTTCTTGGCCTTCTTATGGCTACTTTCTTGCTGTGTCCTCACATGACAGAACTCTGGTGTCTCTTCCTCTTCTTATAAAGGCACCAGCCCTATCAGATTAAAGCCTCACCCTATGACTTCTTTTATCCTTTATTGTCTCTTCCCAAGCCCTGTCTCCAAATACACTAATATTGGGGGTTAGGGCTTTATCCTATGCATATTCAGCCCATAATAGTCCCTTACTCAATCCAGCTCACTGACGGTGATATTAAAGGGTGTACTGTGAGAAAGGGAAGTTCTTTCTGGAATTTAGTGATAGGAAGTTAGTGATAGATAGCATGTCTTTTGGGTTGTCTTAATAATTAATGTTCATGATTTGTGTTTAAATGCTTTTTTGAAGTTGTTTGTATTTCAGCTTTTAATTCCTTTTGAAGAAATTAAATATATAGGTTTACTACCCACCTGTTGAAATACTATTTCCTTTTTTGTTCTAAAATAACCTAATGTAAGTTTCGGGACGTGTGTGAATTCTGAGACTTCTATCTTAATTTGCTGTGCTGTTTAGGGTAATTTTGGGAGTGTTGAGATGTGCCGGTATGACCCTTTACAAGACAACACTGGGGAGGTGGTGGCTGTGAAAAAGCTCCAGCACAGTACTGAAGAGCACCTCAGAGACTTTGAAAGGGAAATTGAAATCCTTAAGTCCCTGCAGCATGACAACATTGTGAAGTACAAGGGAGTGTGCTACAGTGCTGGTATGTTGCCCATTGAAACCTATTTTGAACTCAAGGTATGTTGAAACATATACTGACACAAGATGTGGACTTATACTGTACCAGTGCCCAGAGAGAGAAGACTGGAGACTCTGCTTGGTGATGGTGGACTGTAACTACAGGAAGTCTTCGGCTAGTTGTTTAATCATTCTCTTCACTGAAAATGGTGCTTATCACTCTTGCTTACACTTATCAGGCAATTATCACTTTCAAAGAAAGAAATTGTTTTTGCTCACATTTTCTTTAAAAACGTTATATTTTACATTAGATGCTTTTTGTTCAATACGAGATTAGGGGAAAGGAAGTTTTCTCATCAGCTTATTTTGGTTTGTATACAGGGTTACAGAAGACTAAAACAACTATTTTTAAAACTTTTTGATTCCAAAAGCCTGTGTTCTTTACTATATCACCTTTGATTCATAATCACATTCTGTCATCTTAGACTCAGATTTGATATATCTTTGAATCATTTATGTATGGTTGTTTTTTAATATTTCATTGGTAAAACATGGCAAAGTATAGCATTATGTTCCCATCTGTATTTTAAAAGGCCGGCGTAATCTAAGATTAATTATGGAATATTTACCATATGGAAGTTTACGAGACTATCTCCAAAAGCATAAAGAACGAATCGATCATAAAAAACTTCTGCAGTATACATCCCAAATATGCAAGGTACCTTATATTCTGATTATTTGTTGTAGATGAAGTGGGCATGTTGAAGTAATTGCTAAAAAATTCTCTAGTTGTTGTTTTTTTATATAATTAAAGGTGTATATATAGACAAGACCATTTAGGTTGTTTATGTTTACAAAACCAGCTGAAAGAAAAATATTATTTTATCCGTAGGGTATGGAGTATCTTGGTACAAAAAGGTATATCCACAGGGATCTGGCAACAAGGAATATATTGGTAGAGAATGAAAACAGAGTTAAAATTGGAGATTTTGGGTTAACCAAAGTCTTGCCACAAGACAAAGAATACTACAAAGTGAAAGAACCTGGTGAAAGTCCTATATTCTGGTGAGTATATTTTAGTAAATAAAATGAAAATTTAGAGCATAAACTTCAAATATTATTTTTACTATTATTGATAGTTTGTCATTTATATATATTTTTTTAATTAAAATTTTCTTTATTGATTTTTAGAGAGAGAGGAAGGGACAGAGAGAGAGAGATAGAAACATCAATGAGAAAGAACATTGATTGGCCGCCTCCTGCATGACCCCACTGGGGATCTGGCCCACAATCTGGGCAGGTGCCCTGACCGGGAATCAAACTGGAGACCTTTTGGTCATGGGTCAACGTTCAACCACTGAGCCACACTGGCTGGGCTGTCATTTATATATTTATACTCATAGCAAAATTTTATCATATACTTACATTGGATTTAAATGTATTTCTTGGATTATCTCATTTAATGCTCATAACAACCCTTGGAGAATATGTATTAGTATGTCATTTTAAGCATGAGGGAACTGAAGTGTAGACAGGGTAAGTAAGTAGCTTACTCAAGGTCAAGGTTTTTTACATCCCACCTACTATATCAAGTGAAATCATAGGGTATTTGTCCTTCTCTGTCTGATTTATTGCACTTAGCATGACACCCTAGAGGTGTTGGGGTCCTTAGAGAGATGAGTGAAAGGGAATAAGTGGTACAAACTTCCAGTTATAAAATAAGTCATAGGGATATAATGTACAGCATAAGGAACATAGTCAATGATATCATAATAACTTTGTATGGTGACAAATGGTTACTAGATTTATCACAGTGATCACTTCATAAAGTATATAAATGTTGAATAACTATGTTGTACACTAGAAATTCATATAATATTATGTCAACTGTGCTTTAATAAAAAGAAAAGAAGTAAAATAATAGTTAAATTTTTTTTAAAAGTTTACCAGATAGACCAGAGAAAAGGCATTTCATGAGGAGGACAACAAGAACAAGAGGACCAGGGGCTTACGAGTGAATGGCATAATTACAGAAGACACTGAGTAATTGGGGCTAGAATGGTATTAAGCCCTGTGTACCATGATAATGAGTTCAGACTTTACTTGGTAGACAGTGTGTAGGTGAGAAATTGAGGCTTTACCTCTTTACTTTTGGTGGAGAACAGCAGTTCTCAAAGTGTGGGGACATCTAGTACCCCCTTTAGGGAGTCTCTGTTATCAAAAGTTATTTTCATAATAATACTAAGATGTTATTTGCTTTTTTCACTCTCATTTTTGCATATGTTGATAGTGGAGTTTTCCATAGTCTATAATCTTAGTCTTTATTAAACCAAACGTCAAAGAAACTTTAAAAATGTAGAACAGTACTATTCTTCTCACCAGAGTATTCTAGCTTGGAAATTAGAAATTTTCCTCTATTTATTTATTGTTTTGATTAATCCTCACTGGAAGATGTTTTTTCTATTGATTTTTTTTTTTTTTTTTTTTTATAGAGACAGTGGAAGGGAGAGGAAAAGGGGGAAGTAAAGAAGGGGGAAGAGAGAGAGAGAGAAAAAGAGGGAAACATCGATGTGACAGAGACACATCGATTGTTTAACTCTCGCATGTGCCCCCACTGGGACTAGAGATCAAACCTGCAACCCAGGTACGTGCCCTTGACTGGGAATCAACCCCTTGACCTTTTGGTGTACAGGACAACACTCAAACCACTGAAGCACACAGGCCAGGACAGAAAATAGTTATTTTTCTTTTTTTTTTTTATCCTCACCCGAGGACATTTTCCATTTTTTGTTCAGGTAGAGTGGGAGGGAGAGAGAGGAACAGAGAGAGAGAGAGAAACATCGATGTGAAAGGAACACATCGAGTGGCTGCCACCCGCACAACCAACCAGGGCCGGGGACAAACTGCAACCGAGGTACGCACCCTTAGAGGGAACCGAACCCGGGTCTCTCAGGACCGCAGGCCGACGCTCTAACCGCTGAACCAAACCGGCCAGGGCGAAAATAGTTATTTTTCATAAAAAATTATTTGTTAACATGTACTGGGCTTATTGTTATTTGTTATTATTATTTTTTAATCCCCACCTGAGGATATGTTTTTATTGATTTTTTTTTTTAGAGAGAGAGGAAGGGAGGGAGAGAGAGAGAAAAACATTGATGTGAGAGTGAAACATCAATCAGTTGCCTCCAACTGGGGAGATTTTATTATTATTATTATTATTATAATTTTTTTTTTTTTTTTTTTTTATCCTCACCCGAGGACATTTTTTCCATTTTTTTTTGTTCAGGTAGAGTGGGAAGGGGAAAGAGGAAGAAAGAGAGAGAGAGAGAGAAACATCGATGTAAAAGGGACACATCGAGTGGCTGCCACCCGCACGACCAACCAGGGCCAGGGACAAACTACAACCGAGGTACGTGCCCTTAGCGGGAACCGAACCCGGGTCTCTCGGGACCGCAGGCTGATGCTCTAACCGCTGAGCCAAACCGGCCAGGGATTATTATTATTATTTTTTATCCTCACCGGAGGACATTTTTCTATTTTTTGTTCAGGTAGACTGGGAGGGAGAGAGAGGAACAGAGAGAGTGAGAGAAACATCGACGTGAAAGGGACACATCGAGTGGCTGCCACCCGCACGACCAACCATGGTCGGGGACAAACTGCAACTGAGGTACGTGCCCCTAACGGGAACGAAACCTGGGTCTCTCTGGACCGCAGGCCGACACTCTAACCGCTGAGCCAAACTGGCCAGAGCTTATTGTTATTTTTAATGAATTAGTAAATAGTTTAACATTTTCTTAGTTTTAATATCTAATATGGTAAATATTGGTAGCAATAACCCACATAAACACAAGCTTTTTTGGGACTTTAATAATTTTTTTTTTTACTCCTCACCCAAGGACATTTTTCTAATTTTTGTTCAGATAGACTGGGAGGGAGAGAGAGAGAGAAACATCAACGTGAAAGGGACACATCAAGTGGCTGCCACCTGCACGACCAACCAGGGCCGGGGACAAACTGCAACCAAGGTATGTGCCCTTAGCGGGAACTGAACCCGGGTCTCTCTGGACTGCAGGCCGTAGCTCCAACTGCTGAGCCAAACTGGCCAGGGTGGGACTTTAATAATGTTTAAGAGTATATAGGAGGGGGCCTTTGACCTAATGCTTGGAGAACTACTGGTATAGAGAGTGCATTATATTAAGGAAAGGCTAACAGCAGGGAGAGGCAAGTTAGGCAACTTTTGCAGGAATCTGAGCTGTTGGTTTTTAAACCCTTTGTTTGTATATATCCACTGAAAGAATTATGAGAACTGTATTTTATCTCACACATTTAAAATTGATAGCCAAAGTTTTTACTTATAAATTTAAATAGTCATAAATAATATATTGTCTAAAATATTATAAATACTGACATTTAAATAACAGGTATATCAATCTTTTAGTTGTTTCTAATGAAATCTAAATAACACAAAAATTTGATACCTATTGTTATCCACTTAAAGTATAAGAGCAGACATTTTATTTTTGATAGAAATTTTATGTCACTCCTTTTATTCTTTAAAATTATATTTCTACTTCCCTTCCCGCCTCAAATTTTGCATACTGTATTATGTTTTGTACTTGGAAGATCTTTCGATCACCTATCTCCTTTGTAACCAAAGTATGTATATTAATTGAAATTATTTTTAAAATTGTCTCTGACCACAACAGTTATAAGCATTCACATTTTTCTTCTGGATTGAGTTATTAATGAAGTTTTCAGGATACAGTTTTCCTAAGCAATGTAAATAAATTACATATTTGGATAATTGTTGAAAAAGTTTTATTGAAACCTAGGTTTTTGCTCAGTGGTTAGAGCGTTGACCCTTGGACCAAAGAGTCGCAGGTTCGATTCTGGTCAAGGGCACGTACCTCAGGTGCGGTTCACTCCCTGTTGTGTGGAAGGCAGCTGATCAAAGTGTCTCTCTCACATCAATGTCTCTCTCTCTCTCTCTCTCTCTCCCCCCCTCCCCCTCTCCCTCACATTCTATCTGAAGATAAATGCAAAAACAAAACAATAAAAAGTCTTATTGGAGCCCTGGCTGATGTGACTCGGTTAGTGTCATCCCGTATACCAAGAGGTGGCCGTTCGATTCCCGGTCAGGGCACATACCCAGGGTGTAGGTTTGACCCATGACTTGGGCAAGTGCAGAGGCAACCTATTGATGTTTCTCGCTCTCTCAAATAAGTTTAAAAAAACACAAACTTTTTATTGAAGACATTTCTTAATGAGATAATTAGAGGGTTCTTTTCTCCAATTAGTTCATATTACCTTGGATGAATATTTTTTATTTCTGTACTAGACTAGATTTAGCATAAATTCTTTGTTTATTTTGCATTTTTATAGATATAAACACTGAGAAAACTAGTTTGTATAAATAAATAGATAGGAATGGAAGTTTTATTATAATAGTATCATTCATTTCTATGATTCCTTCTGAGATGTATAGTAAAAAAGTATATATTGATCTTTCATTAAAATTTTTCTTTTGGTTGGTAATTTGATTAGATCCATTCCTTTTTCATTGCTGTTGAAAGCAAAGAATTAAAGCCACTTAATTTTCAAAAGTGGATAAACTACCCAGTCATTAGAGTCATTCATTTTCTCCATCTTTGAGAAGTAGTATACCAGAAATTGAAATCGTGATGTTACTCTCATTTAGAAGCATGCTATTTAAAATGATGCATTCAGAAAAGGTTGCAAAAATAGAATATTGCTAATTTTAATATAGTATTTTAAGATAACATCTTGTATTATGTTTTAAATACATTATTTAAATATGGCAAATCTTTGTGCTGCCTCAAAGATTGAGTCAGTTTATGAAGAATATCCTTTTTATAACCCATCTGGCAATGTCCAGCATAAACAAATTACATTTAATTTCCAACAGAAATGTTTGACTTCAGTTTTCAATCAAGTAAGAATAGTAATATTATGAAATATTATTTCTAAAAAACCAATTGCAGAACACATGTACAGAGCCATGTTTATAGTGAAGCTAACAAAGCATATTCCCAGAACACCTTCCTTCCAAAATTCCTTCTTTTCTAATTTTAAATATTCAGTTTCTTTTTTTTTTAAGTATGTTTTTATTGTGTGTGGGTTTTTTTAGGAAGAGGGAGAGAGAGAAACATTGATTGGCTGCCTCCTGCACACCTCCTACTGGGGATTGAGCCCAAAACCCAGGCATGTGCCCTGACCAGGAATTGAACTGGTAATGGAACCTACAACCCTTCAGGCCAACACTCTTAATTGCTGAGCCAAATTGGCCAGGGCAAAGCTAACATTCATTTAAATATATCATAACTAAATATGTAAAGTGTTTTCTGAAACTAAATATAAAGCAAATATAGCACTACATCATTAATTGTGTGGTGTGGACTACAAGTATTATAGAAATTCAGTAGCATTGGGTCATTAAGACCTTGAGTAGTCAGAGAAGGATTTGTGGAACTGAATATTTTAAAGGAAAGATTAAATTCTTGTAATTCATATTTTTAATCTCATCAGTCTTAAGCATTTCTCTATCATTATCCTCTATAATAAGGATAAATTTAGCAAGGTAACCAGGATATTCACAGCCCATCAGCCAAAATTCTCCCTTGGTTAGTGTTGATACTTGAGTAGATAGTAGCACCATTTCCCCCTGTAACATTCTCTTTTCTGTGCTCCTTCACTTTCCTGGGATAAACAGGTTCTTTCTTTTATATCCTTTTTTATTTTTTGGTATGTGCCCCTAGTGGGAACCGAACCCGGGATTCTCTGGTCCTCAGGTCGATGCTTCAACCGCGGAGCCAAACTGGCCAGGGCTCTTTTATATCTTAATAGCTTCACGTCTTGCTCCAGTTTAGAAATCATTTTTTCCCTTTTATGATACTTATCTGTATTCATTTAAAGCATAACTTGCAAAGAACAGCTTATTTTTCAGTTTTTAGAAAGTACTTTACAGTTAATCTTGGTGTTTCCTATAGAGACAAAAATGATTAAAATAAATTAAATAAAAAATTTTTTTAGTTACCTTTGTGTGTTGAAGGTTCCCAAGACCACCTTCAGGTTTGATCTTCACTAGGAGGATTCATAACAGTCAGCATACTATCATATTTGTAGCTATGATTCCTTACAGGGAAAGGACACAAAGCAAAATCAGCAAAAGGAAGAGGAGTCTAGGGCAAAGCTGGAGGAAACCAAGCATAATCTTTTAAGGGTTCTCTCCCAGTCAAGTCATATGGGACACGCTTAATTTCCCCAGCAGTAAATTGTGAAAACACAGTGCCCAGGGTTTTTATTGGGACTGGACACGTAGGCATGCTCTATCTGTATGTACCAAAATTCCAGATTCCTAGAGGGAAAGCAAGCACTCAGCACAAACCATACTGTTTGCAAAAAACATTTTGGGTACAGTTGAGGCACTCTTATCATTTAGAGAATTGTGGAAACCCTCCTGAAATCGAAGTTCCAGGTACCAGTAAAGTGTCAGCATTGCAAGCAGGCCTTTTTGAGGATGGTGGCCTCAAGCCTGCTCTGTTAACTTTAAACTATACACCTTGCATTTTTTTAATTCAATGGTTTGCAGGTAAAATCTAGAGTTGGCATATCAGCCTTAGCCAGTTTTGCTCAGTGGTTAGAGTATTGGCCTGAGGACCAAAGGGTCTCGGGTTCAATTCCCAGTCAAGGGCCTGTACCTATGTTGCAGGTTTGATCCTTGTCCAGGAGGCAACCCATCAATGTGTTTCTCTCACAGTGATGTTTCTCTCTGTCTCTCCCTTCCTCCTACTCTACCTAAAAATCAGTGGAGAAATATCCTCAGGTGAAGATTAACAACAATAAATAAAGAGTTGCACATCAAGTAACCATCTTTTAAATGCTTTTCCTATTTCACAGGTATGCCCCAGAATCACTGACAGAGAGCAAGTTTTCTGTGGCCTCAGATGTTTGGAGCTTTGGAGTGGTTCTGTATGAACTTTTCACATATATTGAGAAGAGTAAAAGTCCACCAGCGGTCAGTGTGTTTTTTATTTACTTTCAGCTTTTTATTAACATGAGAAAATTTTTTTCCAAACAACAGTTGTAAGCTTAAGACCCATTTTAGCTCTCGCCATTTTTGCTCAGTGGTTAGAGCGTCAACCCACGGACCAGAGAGACCTGGGTTCTGTTCCTACTAAGGGCACATACCTCGGCCCCGGTGGGGTCATGTGGATGGCAGCCACTCGATGTGTATCTCTCACATCGATGTTCATCTCTCTTTCTCCCTCTCTCCCTCCCGCTCTATCTGAAGATGAATACAACAAGTGTCCTCGAAAAGACCCATTTTAGAGCCTCTTATTGCTTATTTGTAAGACAGCATCCAATAAAATAACCCTAAACTTATTCCAAATTAACTTGAATTTTTAAAAAGAGGTGTGTAGAGTACTATTTACTATATTTTCTTAATATTATTCTTAATAAATCTGATAAACTCATTCATTATAGGAATTACTGCAAAAGTTAAAATAAACTTTTTAAAGTAATGTTTTCCTGATCATTATAGAACTTTTTGTAATATAGAAGAGTATGAAAAAAAAAGTCACCTCTAGCCCTAACCGGTTTGGCTCAGCGGTTAGTTAGAGCGTCGGCCTGCGGTCCCGAGAGACCCGGGTTCGGTTCCCGCTAAGGCATGTACCTCGGTTATAGTTTGTTCCTGGCCCTGGTTGGGTTGTGCAGGAGGCAGCCACTCGATGTGTCCCTTTCACGTCGATGTCTCTCTCTCTCTCTCTCTCTCTCTCTTCCTCCCACTCCATCTGAACAAAAAATGGAAAAATGTCCTCAGATGAGGATTAAAAAAAAAAATCACCTCTAATTCAATTACTCAGAGGTAACTACTTTAGTATTGTGGTATGTTTTCTTCCAGGCTTCTTTTAACTATATGTTTTATATGTTTTACTTTTGTGAAATTTTATTAAAAATATTTTTTTTATAAAATAAAGGTTATACTATACAGCTTGCTATCCTGTTTTTTTCACTAAGTATTAGAGCATGGATATTTTCTTATATTAGTAAATATTTACTGAAAATGTGGCTTCTAAATTTGGGTAGTGTTTATAATAAGGGTATAATTTCTGAACAATTATTTTTCATTTTTTCAGTCTTTTAAGTAACACCTCAATAAACACAGTGAACATCTTTCTACATAGATACTTGTTTATCTCTGTGTGTCACCTTAGAATAAAGCTTAATAACAGATGAAAGGATATGAACTCTTATAAAGGTTTTTGATTATTTCAAAATGCTTTCCAGAAAAGCTGTATCAGATTATACTCTCAGTAGCAGTGCCCAGAGTATGTACATGTCATTTGACAGTATTGATCATTATGTTTTTATGCAGTTTTGCCAGATTGGTAGGAGAGAAGTTGTGTCTATTTGATTTTAATTTGCATTTCTCCTATTGGGTGTTTGGTGCATGTGTGTGTCTCCTCATGTGCTTTGCCCATTTTTATATTGATACTTTTTCTTACCAATTTATAAGAGCTCTCTATATTTCAATAAATGATGTATTGTAAATATTTTTCTATCTTACAGTTCAGACTTTTATGAATTTTTAACATTTGAACAATTTTTTTCTCCATGCATTTATGCTTAAACATACATTCTACATTTTCTTTCTGTTATATCCTCTTTTGCATTCAAGTTATTTCAGCTGAAATGTAATGTGACATGTTAAAACAATAACAACCAAAAAAGTGTGAATATGTTTTTAGTTCACTTGTTTTGGGCCCTCTCAGGGAATTTGTGTTGAGTATATTACAGTTATGGAAATGGCATTATAGAGGTTGCACATTTAACAATCTTTTCTGAAGTATTACTGAAAAGGAAGTTTTTGATCCTTAAAATAGTTTTTAAAAGGTTTCAAACACATAAGAAAACATACATATACAGAATTTTTCCCATTTATTGGAAGAAGTTGAGAAAGAATTCTGCTTCAAATTAAATGTACGCAAAAAATCTCATTAAAATGTGGGTTTGTGTTTCAGGAATTCATGCGTATGATTGGCAATGACAAACAAGGACAGATGATTGTGTTTCATTTGATAGAACTCTTGAAGAATAATGGAAGATTACCAAGACCAGATGGATGCCCAGATGAGGTAACACTTTTTTTTTTTAAATTCACAGTAATCATACAATTTCTTTCTCTTTTAAAATAAGGACTTCAGGTCACTTTATGAAATTTATGACTGTGGATCTAGGCCTAGCCATGACAGCTACCTATATGGGAGAATTAAGTGGGAGTTCTGAATCCATGTCTTCTGACAAAAAAGAACACTTTGTGCTCATTATAATTTTGATTTATTTTTCTCTTTTGCAGATTTATGTGATCATGACAGAATGCTGGAATAACAATGTAAATCAACGCCCCTCTTTCAGACACCTAGCTCTTCGAGTTGATCAAATAAGGGACAACATGACTGGATGAAAGAAATGAACTTTACTCTGAGACTAAAATAAAGTTAGAGAACAAAATTTTGTATTTCACATTGCTGTGGACTATTATTACATATACCATTATTATGTATATCATGATGCTAGCCACAACGATGTGGAAATATCTGCTCAAAACTTTCAAAGTTCAGTGAGTTTTTATGAGGACACCAGTAAAAGAAATTGATGAAAAGTTCTTGGCAAAGAATTTTGTAAAAAGTTTCATGAATCTAATCAGTCAGTTAACATCACCTTGCTTTGGCAAGAGGAAAAAAATTAGACGTTTTTTAAACTCAGAATTTTGAGAGATGAAAAAATTGTAATATAAATTTTGCAATGCTAAAGATACACAGAATATGTATGTACAGTTTTTACCACAATGAATGTATAATACCTTGGCATCTTGTGTGATGTTTTACATGAGGCCTGGTATTCATTAATGGTGTTTTCTAATTTTTCCATAGTTGATCTATAACTTCACTATACAAACAAATTAAGATGCTCAGATAATTGAATAAGCACCTTTGTGTTCTTGTTCATCTATATCACTGGCCAGCAATGTAAGCAGGTGTACACTTATCGCTTGTCGGTCTATGTACTGTAAATATTTTTCAAAGAAAAGGGAACAAATGTTTAGTTTTATTTGTATAGGAAATCTCCCTGACTCTAAATTTTGAAATGGAACAAGTTTACAAAGCTGTAACACAATCTATTTTCTTATTTGTCTCCCTTGTATCTATTTGTGATGAGTATGTTTTTTGTTTTTAAAATAGAACTGTCTCTAAGTTTTTCTAAGACTATAGTAAATAGTTTTCTTTTAAAAATTTGAGATTACGAATACAGGAATATTGTCATCCCTTGAGCTGTTGGCTGCCAATGAGATTTTTTAATCCCTGGAACCTATAATCATGCATTAAATTTAAGTGTAAGCCATAAGATACATTGTTTTTTAAATGTGTAAACCTATTAAGATTCATAATGTGGGTTAGGAATTTTTATTTTCTAAAGACTATTTTAGGGATTTTAGAAATCTCTATTGTAGTCACAGAAGAAATTTTCTCTTGTTAGAGAGTCTTATATACAAGGGAAAAATGAGAGTAAATTGGTGAAAAAGTATGCTTGTTATTTTATTTAAGAATGCCAGTAGAAAATTCATAATATGCCATTAAGAAAAATGAGAATATACATATTCTTTTTTTTTTTTTGGTACGTGCCCCTAGCAGGAACCGAACCCAGGACACTCTGGTCTGCAGGCCAGTGCTCCAGCCACTGAGCCAAACCGGCCAGGACTGAGAGTATACATATTTTGAACGAGGTATAAAGAGTTGTTTGTTGTCTTTGTCATTTGTTTTAGTGCTACTCGATTTTAGACACCATACCTAATGTGTGGCAGGGTTTATTGTATTATTTACACAAAGTTTAAAATACTTAGTATTTTGGTTAAAAAGAAAAAATAGTTTCTTACTCTAGTTTCAGTGGTATATGGTATTTTTTTAAACTTGTACTTAAGACTTTTGATTTCCTATTTTTTGAAGCTTATTTTAAAGTGCAAATTATATAAGAAAAAAATGTTTCACATGTGAAGTTTGAGGTTGGCAGGAAGAAAAAAATAAATCTTTTTTACGTGATCTTTAAAATATTTTAGTGGTTACCAAATGAAAAAATTATCTGAAACAATATATTAGATTTTAAAATATTTCTAGTAGATATTTTGATGCAAGTTGAATATAATTTTTATTTAATTTGTAAAGACTCTTCAAGGATCTGTAAATATAGTGCAATTAAAGATCTTCCGTTTTGCTACTTTTCAAGTCAAAAGTAGCATATCATATAATGTGCTTGATTTAAGATTTTTGTACTAACACCTATGTACTAAAAGGGAGAATTTTAAAAGTCTAAAGCATTTTGTTTTTAAAAACAAGGATGTTAACTAGATTTCCTTTTTAAAATATTTTTAATGTTTCAGTTTTTAGTTTTAGAGAAAAAGTACTATATAAACATTCTTAAGTATTTAGAGTGGGATTACTACCTTATCGTAAAATGTTAAGTTTTTAAAAGAATTATCATTCATTAAGGATTAATGATGTTTTAAATTTTGATTCTGACTATACATAAAAAGAAATTAAACCTGCAGGTGTTTAGTTGGTTCTGCACAAGAAACAGGTAATTATTGTTCCAGTTAATGCCAAACTGTTTCTTCAAATTAATATTCTTCAGAAAAGAGGATAAATATTTTCTTAGAATTCTGTAATTCTGTAAATATTCTGGTATATTAAGTTGTACAGTCTTTATATAAATAATTCCTTATATCCATGGCTACCTGCTTTGAGAAGTAGTCACTTTTTTATGTTATTTATGTACATACTATAATTTGCTGTGGGGGAATGCTTTCTTACAACCCAAGACTTCTGATATAAAATCAAGTGAAATTTTTATCACAACTATAACCTCTGATATTTCAATTTTATTTAAACAGTTTTATTATTGAGTAGACATTAGAAAATATCTACAGTTCAATACTTGGGAGCCATTCTCCATGGAGTGGCATTATGTGATCAGTTTATGAAGACTGTGTCATTTTCTTCACTGTGCCTTTAGCGTGTTCTCACAAAATTGAAATATTGATGTAAAAAGTATTCAGAAGTTATTTTCTTTTGTATTGTCACCTAACCAAGGAAGTGGGGTTACACACACTGGTTTAGGTACATACAGAGAAAGTCTTTTAGAATAGTAAATTTACCTTTAGATTTTTAAAAAGAAATACTTCCTAAGATGGCTATCAACTACTGTGCACTCTTTATAAACATTGCTGTATATACTGTAGTTCTGGTATTTAAATTATTTCTAATGAAAGTTTCTCTAGTTTTCCAGTATTACTAAAGATCTTTCAGTTTGCTATATCAGAATAAATAATAAGAGTAAGTAAAGCCAGCAGGATTTTTACCCAAACAAAAGACTAGATTATATGAAATGAATTTCATTTTAATTTAAGAAAAATTGGAGTATGAATATCAGAAAATCTACTTTGCATTTATTCCTAGATTTGGGTTGGTTGTAATTAATTTCAAGGTAGCTAGCTGCTAAGTGTTTTCCTGATCCTGAGAGTAACATTAGAGAGACTTCAGAATAACTGAGAAGAGAATTTAAAACCTTTCACATTAATCAAGTTGGTATAATATGCATACCATATAGCCTTTAACTTTTCATACGAATCAGATTCTTAGTAAAATGTACATATGTACGTAAATATTAAAATATTTAATTTTTTTAATTGTAATATGTTCTTTATGTTAAATTAATTTCTATTGTACTTATGCCAGATGGCATTGCTTAATTCGTGCAGGCCCTAAATATGGTTCGTTCTTTTTCAGTCTTACAGATGTATAAAGAAAAGCTTTGTGTCCACTTGAAACACCAATCTTTATTAATATGGCTTTAAAACTTGTTAATGACTTAGCCCTGGTCAGTTTTGCTCAGTGGTTAGAATGTCGGCCTGAGGATCAAAGGGTTTCAGGTTTGATTGCAGGTTCAGTTCCTGGCCCCATCAGGGTCGTGCAGGAGGCAACCCATAGATGTGTCTTTTTGTATCAGTGTTTCCCTCCCTCCCTCCCTCCCTCCCTCCCTCCCTCCCTCCCTCCCATTCTGTCTAAAAATCAATGGAAAAATATCCTCCCATGAGGATTAACAACAAAAAACAAAACAAAAACTTGTTAATGATTTGTTTTGTGTGTTAGTCTAAGCCTATCAATAGCTAATGTTGTGGTTAGACTAGTCCTTGTGGTTCTTATGATTGCAAGAGGCCATTTAGCAATAACCATCGTTTTTTTGGGGGGGTTGGTGGGGGAAGAGCGCCCAAGCAAGCATGTGCATTGGCCTAAGGTTCTGCTTTTAAAATTTGGGGCCCAGGGTTTCATGGGCTCACTCTTTTTTTTTTTTTGTTCAAGTAGAGTGGGAGGGAGAGAGAGAAACATCGATGTGAAAGGAACACATCGAGTGGCTGCCACCCACACAACTGACCAGGGCCGGGGACAAACTGCAACCGAGGTACGCGCCCTTAGCGGGAACCGAACCGGGGTCTCTCAGGACCGCAGGCCGACGCTCTAACCACTGAGCCAAACCGGCCAGGGCCATGGGCTCACTCTTTATTGGAGAATTTGAAACATAAGAGCAGGAATTTAAAGCATGGGAAGAGAAAAAACAAGGAGCCCAAGTGGTCATTTATTGAAATTAACCAAGATCTCTAAAACAAAGGAGCCTTAGTGGAGAGAGGCTCCTGGTTCTAGTCCTGTGGCTGCAGTGTGTTTATTGAAGATAGCCTTTGAAGTGCATGCCTCATCAATCAAAGCTTGAGTCATACATTTCATTACAGAAAAGGAGAAAACTCAAGTGTCAGGGCTTACACTACATAATCATTATTCCATTATAAGGACTTTCTTGGCATAGCAATTGCTTAACATCTTGTTTTTTAATATAACTATAACATTTACAAAATGAGAGAATTAAAAGAGCTCTAAGAATCCCTGTTCTAGTTATCGATATTCTCAGATGTTGTGAATAGTTTTGATCTTAATAACTTGCCCTGGCTGGTTTGGCTCAGGGGTCAGAGCATCGGCCCACGGACTAGTCCCAGATTCAGTTCCTGCTACGGGCAGGTACCTCAGTTACAGTTTGTCCCCAGCCCCATTTGGGGTCCTGTGGGTGGCAACCACTTGATGTGTCTCTTTCACATTCTTTCACATCAATGTTTCTCTCTCCCTCCCTCTCTCCCTCCCACTCTATCTAAAGATGCATGCAAAAATGCCCTTGGGTGGGGATTAAAAAATAGTAATAATAACTACTCAAGTAGGTCAGCTTTGAGTAGTATGAACAGACAAATATAGATGTTTAGATCTGACTGTTGGTAAATAACATTAATAAATAGTGCAGGGTGGTAAGGAAAAGATTGTGTTAAACAACAAGAACAACAAAAACTTTCACAGCTAAAAGCTTAAAGGATTTATTGAGCCATATGCTAGCCAGAAAAGGATTGGGTCCTGGGGCATGAAGTCTAAACCACATCAGCAGAGTCATAAAGAAAAGACAAACATGTCTGCTGTTCTAGAGTTGATGGGCACTTTTATACATTATGTTTTGGGGAAGAAAAAAATATGAAGTGTTTTGAAAGAATTTACTTTGGCTACAGATAAGAGGAGTGGGGAAAGGTGAAGTAGGAGCAGTTCTATGATAGGTGCACAGTCTGTAAGGAAGAAATATTTATGACTTTTGATTGGTTATAGGCAACAGTCCTGAAAGTTTATGTCTATGCAGGATACGGTGATGTCTGATGGTTGCCTGATAGACTCCTAGAGGTTGATTCAAAGCTCCAACATGCATTCAGGAATGTGAGTAGACTTTTGTTAGTTGGCCCACAACTATGGTAGCTTAAAAATAAAAGAGGCCCTCGCTGGTGTGGCTCATTTGGTTGGAGCATTGTCCTGTGCACCAAAAGGTGGTGAGTTTGATTCCCAGTCCAGGCACATACCTAGGTTATGGTTTCTATCACCAGTCAGGATGTGTAAGGAAGGCAACTGATCGATGTTTCTCCTATCAATGTTTCTCTTCTCTAATAAATAAAAATAAAAAGGCCTTTCAATGTGAGAGGCAACAAGTGTTTATTTGAGATCAGTTAAGAATAGCTATTTGGGACTCACTGATTTAGGCTGTAACCCAAATAGTGTTTCAATTAGGAGACAAAGCAATGGGTATTTATGAGAAAGGGAAGGGGAACAATTACATTAATAGAAGAAGAAAGGCATTTCTAGTGGTGCAGATGGCATAATATAGTGATGTTAATTTTAAACAACATTTAAATTTAATTTTGAGTTTGGTGGTCAGTCCAATTGTTGTAATAAGTGTTTTTTTTTTTTTGTTATCTTTGCAAAGTAAGACATGCAAGTCAATTCCGCTGGCATGGTAGCTTCAGTTCCATTTTAAAGTGGCTCTGTTTATATTATTTACATTTCCCCCTTTTGACCACAATTTTTCCTTGAAAGCATTGCTGATCAATTATTGGATCAGTTATTAAAGCATCATTGGTCCTCCATTGTCAGGTGGCTCATTTTGGAATGTCATCCCATTCTTAGTCCTTTGTAGCCAGGAAGGCTCATCCCTGGAATGTGATATTCCACGAGAAGGGAAAGTGGTTTT